AAAAACAAAAACAAGAAAGGACATATATATGAATCAATGGCAAGGACACGTATCTTCAACAGTATTAACAAGAAAACTATTAGATAAATTCCTGATCTAATCCCCAGCTGTTCTCAATAGAAAAATCACTTTCCTGCAAAAACACTGATCATGATTCAACAGCAAGAGGGCTGGATTTTTACATTCATCTTTTAAAAGCAACATTTATATATAGAATATAGTTCTTCTATTAACACTGAAATCCCTGCTATGATCTGTTGTAGATAAAGATGTATAGTACATCTACTCATCTACTGTTGATCTACATTAAGCAACTCAAGTCTATGCAAATGGTTTATGCTAAGAGTGCTCACAGAACAAATATTAAATGCCTCAACACTTAAGATGAACTATTCTATCTCACAGTAGGTAATTGCATTAATTATTCACCTAATTACTTCTGCTTCCAGAGTTAACGCAGTTGCAAACCACTGTGTTTTTCACCAAAAAGAAAACAGACCACCTTAATTCCAAATCTCCAGAAAAAAATGTGTCTAAAAAATTTGGCACATTTATCAAATTTGGCATAAACAGGAGATGGCCGCAAGAAGAAACATGGCCATGACAATAATTTGCTCAAGTTTTTCTAGGCCAAAAACTACATTAATTGGACATATTTTTCAAGATAACATACACTGCTCATATAAAGCCATTGTAGAACTAAGCAATAATAATAGTAGAAATATTTTGAAGGAAAAGTATTTAGAGTTCTTTCTTCATACTTCTGCATATTTACAAAATTTCCCTGAAAATTTATTTCTTTATTCCTTCCTACAATCAAAAGATTTGCTCAACTGGATATCAAGAAAAGAGTGACTTATTTCCAGTGAAACAAAAAAAGCAAACAAAATTGTGGGATAAAATAAATATATTACAATCTAAAGTTTTGGAATTAAGGTAATCCAAATATGGCTGAACGAGAAAAGAAATAGACAAGGAAAAGAAATATTTACCATCATAATCTGCTTGGTAAAACTCAACTGGTTCTGCAAGACCAACAAAACTATGTAGGGTAAAAAACTGATCATATACACAAGGCTGGCACTCAGAGCTGCGGTATTGGCACTGCTAAAAAAAACTCCCAGAAAATAACTTAACATAATAACTGTCACTCCAAAATCCAGGAGAAAAAGGAAGATGAGGAAACCATTGCTATAAGCAAAGATACCACTCGCTTTTAAAATGATGGCCAGTGCACAGCTGCTTATTGTTAGCACAATTATGTTCTCCAGAAACCAAGCAAGGAAGTGAATGGCTGGATGGACTCCCATTGTCTTCATATACTGAAAGACAATACAGCAGAGGAATCTGAAGTTAGAATAACACATTCATTCTAGTTTTTAAGCAAAACAAATCACCACCAAGATACTACCAGCTCAAAGGATGTCATCTTCCCTTAATATCACTTGTCTCCTTTCTCTCTGTTACCTCCTTCTGCTGCTCTCTCATGGATTCAACACTGATTTTTTGCTTATCACGCAGGAGCACAAAGAATCCCAGGCACAACACACTTTTTGCATGGGTTTGCAAGTCTAGATGTTAGATTACTGGGCTCTCCAGTGAGAAATTTGCCTATATGTACTCTTAAGAAGTACAAATACAGTGCTGTAGGTATGACCACTTTTTTTTTTCCAGTATGTTGTTGAACTAAAAGTAAAGCACAGGTACTTTTGAAAACCTCTATGTACACAAACAATTTAGCCAGCTATTAAATCTCATCTCTCTGTTTCTAGAAAACACTTTTAAAAACAAGATAATACTACTTCAAAAGCATTTTTATAAGATGATCAAAATGAACTTCACAAAGTTGAGATAATACTCTAAAGCATTCTAAAATCCATCTTGAAAATCAAAGATTAGAGAAATTAAATCATTTCCCAAACTGAAAGAAGACAATTGAGAAAAATAAAGATCAGTACAATTCAAAAAAATCTCTACATAAAATTTACCCTAAAACCTTCAGTCTGTCAATATCCTTATTACCTGCTGAGACTAGTTCTTGATCTGTGCAAATAGTTCTATCTCACTTTCCATCCTTCTTTATATTTCTGACATACACAGAACATAGCAAGTTTTTAATTTAATACACGCAGGTTTATCATATTAGTCCAAATACGGCTAAACATTAAAAAGAATCCAAAATACAAACCATTCTAATCACAAGACCTCACTTCAAGATTCCATCTTCAAATTTTATAGATCTTTTGTTTGTTGTGTTTTATCCCGTGGAAAATATTTGCAAACTAAGGGGGCTGATGCTCAAACTCAAAGCAGCAGCTAGAACCTGAAGTTTCTACCCACAATAAAAACAAGGAAAAACCAGAACAGATAGATTTATGAGTACACAAAGGAACCTAAATGTTTAATGTTTTGTATCTCAGTATACTTTACATTTTATTTTCAGAAGCTTAACTCTCCCTTACCTCTTCAAGATGAATTTCTCTTTCATAAACCTGCTTGCGAACCATACTAGCAACAGAAACCATCCATGTTAACATCATCATAAGTGGGAAAAAAAAACCTATGTTGTTCAAAAATCTATGAAAGAATATATATGCAGAATTGTTAGCCCTCAGACATAAAAGATTTTGTAGCAGAGTATTACTGCAACTATTCTCACATTATGCATAAAATAAGATCTGACATGAGCAATTAGAAATATTCTTCTTCAGTTTAATTCATTTATATTTCATGCAACAAGCTAAACATGTATTAGTATAAATTTATATTTGCATGTGTCAACAACAGAACTAACAATCTTTCTTTAGATGATGAGGCTCCACTCATAATCAAACAGAACTCAAATATGTGCATTAAGCAACAACATGAGACAGTCAATTTCTACTCCATTGAAAAATGTCTCATCACCAACTTTAATTTCTAATACTCAGGATGTTATGATGATTTTACAAAGAACAATCCTCCAATTTTTCTTTTGCCTGTACTAACTCTGCACTATATTTCATTACACTCATATTGTGAGCCAATTCTAAGTTTGCAAACAGGGCAACTGATAATGGAATGTGTGCTCCCCTGAAGAGTATAAAGTTGATCACACATTGAAACAGTTTCTGTCCAGCAGACTATTATGAAGTGTAGATGTAAATATCTTTAAGGGATCATTTGGCATTATGTGTTGTGATCCCACCTCTTAACATTTGCAGTACTGGTACTGGACATACTGATTCAGTTCTGCTTTAGGATAAGTATTTAATCATTACAAAGATCTACTAGCTCTCTAAGCTCTCTAGTGATAGCCCAATTACATAATCGAATTAAGAAGTACAAAGTTTACTTACAGATCACTGGTATGACAAGGATAAGGCATGGCTTGCACTTGAATTGCTGGCCCTGAGATATCTAACCCGGTCTGTGCTGAAATTATAGCCCTTTCAATCATGTCTTGAAGAGGAATAAAGATATGATTGTATTTAAACCCATCGGATGGCAGCTTCTGGGGATGAGATTTCCATGCTGGGTTTTTAATCAAGTCTGTTCTCATGCTGTAGAGAACGCTGGTTCTAATTGTATATGAAATGTGCTGTGTAAGGAGATCGCTGGAATCTGGCGTCTTGTTTGTGGTTGTATTGAAGATGATACCTGACAAGAAGAAAAAGCACTTCATACTCAAGCCTTAATGGCGTATTACTTACATAGCTAACCCCTGCTCTTTTAACATCTCCCAGTCCCTACTCAAGAATTGTGGGTTTCATACAGTCCTACATTTTTTCACATCCATATTTATTTGTGCAATAAATGGGTTTGAAACAACAGTTTTATATAAGAAAATTACTGTAATTTGCTTTTTTGAACTATATTCTCTTTATATCCATATAAAAGCCAACCTTGAAGACTACATACTATTTCATTCCATAAAAGAAAGCTGCTACAAAATTTGTCCAAAGGTTAACCATCCTTGTAAGTGGGAGACAAGGAAAACAGTACCAAACCATTCTGATTTTTTAATATCTGAGTCAGTTACTTCATTTCTGCTTTTGCAAAGAAGAATTTGCATGTTTATCTTCTCCAGCACAGTAAAAAGCATGGAGAAAAGTTTTATCTGTAGCTGGAATGGTTAAGTCAAGTACTTGGCTTTTTTAATTTTTTTTTCTGGATGACAGATATTTTAGGTTTTCCTGATGAGTGTGAAAAGTTGACTTTCTTTCTTTAGGAAAGGAGAGACAACTCACTGATCCCTTGACTCTCAGAAATAAAAATTATATTTTACTCCACTGGAAATATTTTTTTTTTTCAAACTCATTTACCCATTTAAGCAATCACTTAATTTTCTAAAACATCTGATAAGCCTAATTAGAAAGAAAGCAAGGTAAATTCAACATCAGTTTCTCATCTTACTACAGAAAATAACATATGCCTATAACTGAGAGTAGTTGGGCAGTGGACACATTAGGTCTCCTAAGAAGCCATCTTGTTCTCTTAAAGAATGTACGAGGCCATGATACCACAAAAACATGAGGCTTATGTCAGCTTACTTTTCTATATGAACCTCCCTTATGTAAGTGAAAGCAAAATGTACCTACAACATGACAGTTTCATTTTCTGTGAGCTAAGATGTCTGTTTCTTTCTGTGAAGGGCCAGACAGTTTCATTCCCTAAGACTTCTTGAGAAATTCTATTTCTCCTATGGTATGGCCTCTTGATTTTTTTACTGATCTAAGGTTTCATTTCCACATGCTGCAAACATGGGTATTGTGTGAGTGACTGAGCAAGCATAGGATTCCAGACTGAAGAGTTATTCTTAAGTTTTGGTTTAGTACAGTTTTTGCATTTCATTCTCTGTAACTACTTTGACATGACTCATTTTATACTTAATGGAGTCTAAAGAGGCAATAAATAAACCAAACAACAGGGGAAAAAATATGGCACAGCATATACTGACTTAAAAGGAGACAGTACCTTTCCCTCTCACCTAGAAAAGTTATATGCAACTTTAAGACCATTTATGCAAACAGAGAATCTGTGTGTAATAAGAAAAAAATTGTTTGCCATTTAAAGTCCGTACAATTAATTCTTGGTCATGAAGGCACGATGCAGAAAAAGCATAGAGAAAGCAGGTAAAGCCAAGATGGAAAAGAAATAACACCAATTACTTAACAATTAATTTGCCCAGAATAAACATTTATTTTTCTTAGGTGCTGGTTCAAGAACTAGATGTGTAACAGACAACAACTAAATTCTAACTTTTTTGTCAATATGCATTTCAAATATGATACTTACTAGCCAAAAAATTATTGTGCTGCATGAGTTCGTGAGCTTTCTCCTCCAACTTATCAACAGATTCAAAAGACTGGAAACGATCCAGTAATACACAAGAAGAGATATTTACTATGAGTTGTGACAACAGGTCGATTTGTCTGCTTGCTGAGCTGTTAAGTGTCTTGCCCATCATAATTTCTAAGAAGAAGAGGAAATAAATTAGATTGTATAAGCTTTAAATAATTGAACAGAACAAAATATAAGAAGTTCTCACTTTCACACAGGAGTAAATACCTTTTACTTTTAAAGCTTAAGAGTATTAGTGTGAACGTGTGAAAGTATAGCTCATGTTGCATCAGTTCTTACAAATCCTCAACTACATTTCCTTCAAATTTCAGAATAATATACAACAAGTTCCAGAAAAAATAAGCCCTACATCTTAGAGAACCTTACAACATTTCCTTATCCTTCCATTAGCTATTTCCACAAATACAAGAGAGTTACTGTACTTGAGGGAACCATCTCCTTATTCTAGGAATGTATAAGCTAGTTCTTATCTCCTTGACACTGGAAGTATTTCAAGTAACTTGTCGGTAGAAGCATTTTGATTCAAGCACTACATCTTAAAAAAATCATCTGGATAAAACTAAAACCTCTCCGTTTTCACTTTGATCATGTTTACAGAATTAATAACTGCATTCTATGAGAGCTGAGCCTCTGAAAGAGTTCAGATCTCCATCTACTTTTAGAGAATGGTGCTATACCTTTAAGTTTTAGAGAATAACCAAATGGATAGCATGAGCTAGAAATAAATCTAAATTTATCAATATTTCATGGAAACAACTGAATTTCTCAGGTAATAAAAAGTTATAAAGCACCCAGTGAGATTTCTTCTTAAATTTTTCAAGACTCTCTTGAACATATGGGCTTTGAAAAGGATGGGTGATGACCTCATTTGGTAACAGTGGTGACACAAAATCCTGAATTGTAGGTGTTACTCAGCAGCAGCATAGGAAATAATACAGCAGGAAGGCAAGTAAGTGGAAAGATATGTGCAGCAGTCTGAAGAAGATATATGATTACCAGTGTGAAGGACAAAGAGCAACAAAGCAGAACCACAAGAATCAGAAGCCTATAACTCAGAAGATGAGCAAGCAACGATAGAGTAAGTTCACAGGTTGAGAGAAATAGCATCAAACATCTTAATACTATCCTCCAGGAGGGCAAAAAATGAAATACCAGTTTTTATTTATTTTGTGGAATTAGAATAGAGAATTTGAAATATTAATCCTGAGTAATAGGGTTAACCTATCACTTATTTTTATAAGTGTGCATACATATATAACCATATACATATATAAGCAGCTGATCCTTAAAAGATCTTAATTTGAAAAAAAAAAATTTAACTGTTAAAAAAATCTCAGTAATTACACTATTGAATATTTTATCATAAAAAAATAATGACTTTATTACTTCCTTGGAGTATGGCATAGTTAAATGTTTCTCAAATTGCATTTCACAGTCTTCAGGAACTTCTGTACTCTAGCATAGAAACAGAATGGCCTAATGGCCTTAATTTGAAAGCTTGTACTAACTGCATGCACTAAAAAGCACAGCAAGTAGAATCCATAACTAAATCCAGAAAGTTAGTGATTCAGACACAGTATCCTCTTTCAACCAAGGACCTCAAACTTCTATATGCCATCTCTCAGGAATATTTGCTTACCCACTGCATTGTTGCTAGTTTGGATCAAGAACAGTTTGCCCATCATGGTGAAAATAGATCACTACATAATTAAAATAAAAAAGGAAATAAAATAGCTTTAACTATTAGAAAGTTACCCTGCCATAGGCAAGGCTGCCTGCCATACACCAGATCAGGCTGTCCAGGTCCCCATCCAACCTGGACTTGAGCGTCTCAACTTTGCTGGGCAGCCTGTGCTAGTTCCTCACTACTCTAAAGATTTTCTTCCTACTGCCTAATCTAAATCTCCCCTCTTTTAGTTTAAAACCATTCCCCGTTTTCCTATCACTATCAGAAAATATGAAAAGTCGATCTCCTTCCTGATTAAAAGTTCCTTTTAAGTACTTAAAAGCGATAACGAGGTCTCCCTGCAGCCTTCTCTTCCCCAGGCTGAACAAGCTCATCTTCCTCAGCCTGTCTTCACAGGAGGTGCTCTAGCCCTCTGATCATCTTCTTAGCTCTCCAAAAGGCCAACTCCAAAAGCTCTGCATCCTTCTTGTGCTGGAGTCCCCAGGCCTCAACACAGTACTCCAGATGAGACCTCACAAGGGCAGAGTAAGACACATGTATAGGAACAGATACAATTCACAGGAAAGCTTTAGAATTAAGATTTAGACTTAAGTTTTTTCTTTAATCTTTCTCAATTATAAATCTAGTAACTATGAATAAAAAACTCAGCAAAGCCATTTATACTCATACCTTCATGCTTTGTTATATAGAACTCATCCCTCATCTCCCACTTAATTCATTCAATGTGCTGCCAAGTAATTGGAAGAAAATATAACTCTTTTCTATAAGCTATAAGGCAGAAGTGCTATTTAAATGAAAGGTAGCAAGAAAAACTGGAATATAGCAGGAATTTTTGAATCAGCATAGGATTCAGTGATGACTTTAGAGCTATTTGTTTGCTTCCAGCTCTCTATGCATACATGGGGACTGCTTAATGACAATGAGGGCAGTAGAGGAAAAAGTCAAGCAGGAAAGTTGCCTGCCGTTTTGTTTGTTTTTATGTTTGCTGCTACATCCCAGGTCACATGTAGCCAAAACAGAAATTCCTTTGCCACTGTACTTTTGGAGAAAAAAAAACGAAGAAGACTGAAAGACAATAGGAAGACTCAGGGAGCAAGAATATAAAAAGAATTTCCTGCACAGTTGCTTCCTTGTGACTCTTCAGAGGTTTATAAGGGTTGCTCCCAGCAAAGACCTCATAAGCTCTAGCAGGATCGAGCTTATATAAAATTGGTTACACCCAGAAGAGGATTGCAAATTGCTGGATTGGAAAGCAAGCATAGAGAGATAGACCTGCAGTGCCCACAGAAGGCTAGTTTACAAAGTAAATATGAGTTTAACAGGAAAAACACAAACTTGATTGTCTGCACTTCAATATTTACTTCATTCCAGAAAAGTAAAAACTGGCACAATACCCTATAAAGCAGTTTTAGAAATTTGTAACTTTGCAAGGAGTCTCCTAGCAGAATCATTTAGAAGAAAAAAAAAAAAAGAATTCTGCATCAATTCACTCAGCATCACATGAAAATTTCCAACTGAAGTTGCAGGGTGAATGAAATGTTTCTAATCCCATTACTTATATATTTATAGCATAATTATGAAGTAAAAACATACAAGTACAAACAGCTTGGATTTGAGCATAATTAGAAGGCATCTCATTGTAAACATACCTGTAAAAAGAAACATCAAAGTATAAATGCAGAAGAGTGCTCTGACACTCTGGATCAAGATCAGTTTAACGTAAAAATAAAACCTGTATGATCTATCACCTATATCGATTTTTCACTTTTTATGATAAATTTAGCAATTGTATTGCATCAAAAAGAAAAATCCTGGCTTCATAAGCTATTCTACTTCAATGATTTCCTGTATTTTCAATCCAAGACTATTAAGCATTTATTACAGTCAAATGTCCCTGACTGTTAAAAAGCTACAGCTTGAGAAATCTCTGCAAAGACTTCTGTGAAGTGTCTGCAACAGTGAAGATGTACCTTATGACTCAAAAGATCTTGATATCTTCTTAATGAGACAGTTAGCCCACAGTCTGTCATACAGTTCCCTATGTTAAGTCTGTACAAACCAAATACATCTGTACACTGAGAGTTATATTTCCAGGAGCTCCTGTAGTTTAAGAGCTTTGTCTTCCCTGCTTCTAACTTTCCAGTTCTGTATTTCTGCTCCTGTATTTTAATTTTATTATGGTCCAGTTTCACCATGATGAGCAAACTGTTTCTGATCCAGACTAGCCAACTATGCAGTGATAACACAAATATTCCTGAGACGGCAGACAGAATTTTGAACTCCTCAGCCTGAGAAGGATACTGTGCCCAAATCTTTTACTTTTGGATTTTGGATTATGGACACTACTTGCTATGTTTTTAGTGCATGCAGCTAGTACTAGCTTTCAAATTAAGGCCATCAACTGCAATTAAATCTCAAACCCTATTTATGCAAAAGAAAACCCAAGAACTTCAGCTCATGTCAACCACAAATAGCACCAACTCAGAGCAATAGTACAATTAAAGACTGAGAACACATTTCAGTATTTACAAGCTCTCATGAGTGGTGGTGGATTTTACCCATCTCCTGCCTACAGACAGGTACAAAAATCAAATAAAAGTTGCACTTCAGGTACTCAATTTTTTAGTTTTATTTTTTAACATACAGATTTAATTATTTAACTGTAAACAGTAGGGCAGACTTAGTGATTTGGACCCCTCACCCTCCTTTGACTTTTTCTCCAACAATATGGGCTATCCAGCCCCTTCAGGAAAGCATTTAAGAGTTCTTCACTCTCCATCCCTCCACAATGACTTAAACAGATTACTGTCTAGCTTGTAATTACCCTAATGTTAATTGACAAACTACACACATCTGTCCTCCTTACTACTATCCTATCTTGAGAAGCATCAAGCCCCCTTGGTGCATGATGTCACACTGTTATTTCATTCTCTGTCACTTCTCTCTCTTCAGTCCTCATGATTATAAGCTATTCTTAAATGACATTAGACTCTTCCTTGGCACGAACTGTTCCTTCTAATGCTGCCAGTAACAATTTCCATTAGAATGCACTGACTTACTGATAGCAGAACACATCAGTTACTTTTTTCAATTATCAGATTGTTTAAAAATAAGTCTAGCTGCCAGGAGCTCAGGGCTAAAAGGGTGCAGCTACGGCTGACAGGGACCCCTTGGTGGCCTAACCACAAACCTGCTGATCTGAGCACCAGTCTCCACTTGCAGGGTGTTATCTTTGCTTGGTCACCATCTCTATGGTCCTGCTTGGCCATCCCAGGGCTGGGTCTGACCCTGATTACTCTGGCAACCAGAGCCAGGCATTGCTGCTCCATGATATTAACCCTATCTCATGCTTTTCTGGGGCTCAGGGAGATGACATGGAATTCTCTCTCTACTAATAGGAGTTACAGACAGCATTTCCTTGTATTGATTAAACACATACCATACCACATCTGATCTACTTCCATTAAAAGCATATAGATTTTCTTCAAAATCACTGAAAAAATTTACTGCTAAATAATTGAACTGTAGCTACTGAGATTACATATTCCCTCCCTCCTTATAAATAAAGCTACTATGTTTGTAAGTGTTCCATGACAGTTTGCCACTTCTAATTCATTACCAGATTTTTTCAGTTTTCAGTATTATACAATGGACAAATTTAACACAGAAACTAAGGCATTTAGAAATATATGACTAACAATAGATTTCAAGCCTGCTATTTTAATTTAATCTAAGCAATCAGAACATTGAAATCCAACCAAATGTAGTTTTAGTATTAAATTAAAAACATAATAAGGGTAATCAATGCATGCTATTTTAAACATACCATAAACTTGCATTTTTTTGAAGAGTTTTTCCAGGTCTATATCCAGGTTACTTTCCACAAAGTGCTTTACAAAATTGTTTTGCAGTGTTTCCTAAAATAAAAAGTTGTAGATAACGTCATGTTTATATTCACTAAAGAAATACAAAATACTCCTCTTACAGAGATTTCCTGAGTAACAGCGGAGAACTCAGCTTCTCCATGTTTTCAGTCTTACCCCCTTCAGAGGTTAACCTCTACCCATTTAAAATAAATTACAGCCCACATACTCCCCATTGCTATACTTCACCATCCTATTTTACTCCTAATATTTTAACCTATTCCACTCTAATATTTTTACAGAACTACTGGGACAGAAACTTGTTTTCTTTTCCTGCAAGATTTCTGGGGCACTGAACTATTAGCACTGGCAATAGTGAAATAAACATCTTTAAAAACTGGCAGCTGGGAATTCCTTTTATATTGCTTTCAATTCTTTATCTCATTTGCCAAGTTCTAAGGGGAAAAATTGTATTAGCACTACAAGGGCTTCCTGGGATTTGCAAGTCTCATGCCTGTTTACTAGTAACATTGCTTACTTAAACTTAATAACAGTTCAGTCAATATAAAAGCCATGACAGTATTTTGCTTACAGAACAAGCACAGAATACTCTGATTTGGGAGGAACCCACACAGATCACTGAGTTCAACTCCTAGCGCCAAACTGTACACCCAAAATCCAAACCCTATGAGAGCACTGTCCAAACACTCCTTGAACTCTGGCACTTGGGGCTGTGTCCACTGCCCTGGGCAGCCTGTTCCATGCTCACCATCCTCTGGTGCAGATCCTTTCCCTCACCCCCACCTGCTTCCCCTCCTCTGCTCTGGGCTGAGCAAACCAACAGACGTCATCTGTTCTTCATGTATCTCGACCTCTTACTCCTTCTCCATCTAAATATCTCCTCAACTGCTCTCTTATAGTTTATGTTCTTTTTGCACTGTGGTGACCCAGAGCTGGAGGAGAAGCCGCACAGCGCAGAGCACAACAGTACCTTCCCTCTCCTGCCTGGCAGGGCCTTATACACCCCAGAGTATAGCTGATACTTCCTTAACACTTATAACAGCTTAACAGCTTCTCACATAATAGCCTACCATGTAAACCATGACAAAACTACATTTTACTGGTATATTTAAAAAAAAAAAAACAACAAAGATGTAGAATGGGCAAAAACCCAGTAACAAGCTCTGAAGTTTGTCAGTATCATACTGCGGGCTCACAAACTGAAGCTAACATGTCTCTTTTTCAATTCTGCAGCAGCAAGACAGATGGGTAACTTTACACATATAGAAATTCACCTAGATCAGTTCATTAGAACATAGAAAACCATACCACGTTTCACCAACCTGCAGCCGTGAGACCATGAGGACGTTTCCACGGTTTTTAAAAACTTCAGACATCCTTAGCCATGTTTGCGAATAAGTCTTCAAGTTTTCCACAAAACCAAAAGTGAAATTAGCCTAGGAAAAAGACAATGTGAAGACAAATGAAAAAGACCAAGCATAGCAAACCGCAAGAAACAGGAAAAACCCGCATACTTCAGATGTTCTGAAACTCCTTTCCAGATCATTTGATAGTCAACTGTAAGTATACCTACTTGTTTTTGTTTGTTTGTTTGTTTTTAAATAAGTATTTACTGCAGTCTCTGAATACTAAACAAAACACGCTACAGGAAAACTTTTGTTTATGTTTCCTATCTGAGAGGTCATAAAAACCTCTTTATTTCATAATGTCTCTTTTATACTGAGTGTCACAGGGGTGCTTCAGAATGCAAAAAAAAAACAACAACAAAAAAAAAACATTTGAGACATTCTCCTCAAAAGAAAGATTCTATAAGCTGTATGGATTTTTTGCTCTATTAGATATTGTACGTAGATATTTAATGTAATTAAATTTAAAAGTTGGAAGCACAGTCTGGATCACAAAGACAACTGACCAAAAATATTTCTTTTACAAGTTTATTTCACAGTATAGCAAAATATTCTGCAGACCAGTGAAGCATAAGCTATAATTTCTGTCTTAGCCAGCAGCTAGCAACCATCAATTTTTTCCATCCTATCTTAACAGATCACAAACATTCTCAATATTAGATGGCATAGCAGTATACTTTTGTTTAAATTGGTATTTTCAGTCAGAGAAGTGCTTTTAAGAACTAGATCTTTCCATTACAATCGAACTTCGTTATTATGGTAGATATCATGGAATTTCCCAGCAATGAGTTTCTTTGACGACGTAAACCGAAATTCGGGACCACAGTTTTGCAATTCCTATTAAAAGTACACATTTTTTGCCATAATATTTTAAGTGCCTTTTGCAAAACCACTCACCTAGCACTCATAACTCCTTCTCTACCAGAGATGCATACTTAAGCATAAGTCAATATAGAAAAACACTTTGTGGTGTTTGTTCTTCCCATTTCTGGCACAAAATGCCCAAAGACATATCGTTTTCATGAAGGAATCTGGGTGTTTAGATTATGTGAGATAGTCTATATCACTTTCCAAGGGAGAGAGATCTTAAATGTTAAAGTTCAGCATTGAATTGACTAAGCAAGTTTTCCTGTAAATGAGCACAAAAAAAAAAAAAAAAAAAAAAACTTGTGGGCTGAAATTCCAGCTTTGAACACTAGGATCATGCAACCCACTGTCCAGACAGGGAGGCAACAACTTGAAGGAGACCAGAAAGGCTCTAGAGGTAGAAAGAGCCAAAAAGGGATAATTCCACACACTGCAGGTCACGACAGAGTCTCAACTTTAAGCCACTACAAGCTGCGAGATCAGGAAGTTCATTAGGGATCTCAAAAGAGCTCAGATCTTGGTGCTTCTTGGTCTGATTCCCAACACCACAAAAGACTTTTGTTTTTCCTGAGGTCACTTTCAAGGATCTACAGTATCCATCACAATACTCAACCTCCTTATACAAACAATTGACGTCATTTTAGAGAAAGTCTCAAATTGAAGCAGCTGTTTTTAAAAAAGTGGTCCTGTAGATTAATAAAATGAACAGTAAGTACTTTTCAGGACAGTTAACATCTGGCCAAGAATTCAAAAAGATTTCAAGGATGAAACTGTTGAAGACCTGGATTCAGTGTAAAATAACTTTCTGATTACAAGTGCTTGGTATCAAGGGGTTTGAAGAATAACAAAAATTGATGCTATTCATAAAATTTTAATAAAAAAAAATTAAAAAAAAGTACTAGCAGAACCGGGAGACTGCACAGCCTAATGATTTTGAAATCTCTAAGCAAATTTTCTTTTTGTGACAATAGTAAGAAGAAATTACAATAAAGGAGAGAAGTGTACGTATAGAATAGAAGTAAATATTGTTGGAAGATATAAAACACTATAAAAATTCAAGTGGAGCTGTGCTTCAGCTCTCTGGAGAAGTTAAAGAACAAGTAAATAAGGAAGAGGTAGTTAGAACACCTCTCCACAGACATTGTGGATGCTAAGAGCTTACATGAGCTGGAAAAAAGTGGACAAATTATGTCAGTAAAATCTTGGCATGTTTTTGGGAGTTGGGACAGTATCTGGGGAAAGTATCACTTTACTGCCATAATCTTCTGCAATTTCCTATGCAATCTTTATTGGCCACAGTAGGAGTCAGAATTTGAGGTAAAAGGAAGACTCCTGTGAGTTTATATTCTAATGAGTAGCTGGAGTTTGATGTTTAATAAAAATTCTCTTTAAGTTCCCTTCTCCCTCAAGAATGGAGATCCATTAAAATAAATATGTAACATTTAGTCTGGGTATTGCATTTGATTGAAATTATAGTCTTGAATAACATCTGTGGCCCTGTCTGGACTGAATACATCTAAGCTTCTTCCTGATTTAAGCACAAATAAAAATGTTATTTTGAGCAGACTTCACTGCCTTTATAATGATATCTTTTAACAGACAAGTGTGCTTATGCAAAGCCAGACAGGCTACGTAAGTTCAGAATGAGAAGTTACTCGACTCATTATCTATTTTTCTAATTTTAAATGACAAAAAACAGGAAGTTGAAATTGATGGATTTGCTAGACTACTTTTCTTTTATTTCTGAATCATCCTGCTACCATTATATATATATATACTGACTGTTCCAATTACAAAAAAATAACACGAAGTGTTATTTCTACTTCGTTTATCCTGAATATAAGATCAACACTGAGATGTATTTTCATGAGATCAGCTCATCAGTGGAAAAAAAGTTAACAAGGATCAAAGGCATCACACATGGACTTTGAACTCCTAGATGACAACTGCAACTGAACATCGTTGCTCTCAGCCAGTGCTGCAGCACATCTTTATAATGGTCATACCTCTTCTACGCATCAGAACCATTGACTTCTTAGAAGGCAAAATCCATAACCTCACAACTTATCAAAGAATGATTGTTTACACAGCCCAGAAATTAAACAAGCCATGTGAAAAACTTTCAGAATATCCCTTACTATACAAGTATCTACTTCATTTTCAGTTTTAATACTCATTGTCTTCTAGTAGACTACTGATATACGGTCATGTTGTCTAAAGTAAATTACAGTTTCTATTTCAATAGGATATTTAACTGTGTAAGAGTAAAGGGTCAGCTTTTAGCAGCTGCTTTTAGAACCCCTAGATCATTATTTTGCATTTAAGATTTGTCTGTGTTGGAAAAACAACTGAGAGGCTTGTGTAATATAAGAAATACAAACATTGTAGAAACAACCCTACTATGTTTGTATTTATATATAAACAAGTATACTCAGCCTGATCTAGTTAGTGGATGACAAACCTGCTGATTGTAGGAGGGTTGGAGGTCAGTGATCTTAACAGTGCCTTCTAACACAAGCAGTTCTATGAATTCCTTGTTAGATATAAATGGCAGAAGTGGGGTGCAGATTACACAGATTCTTAATAAACTGATGGAACTCTGGGTCCCAGAGAATATTAACAAATGTGCCAGAAACATCTACCAGAATCTTTGAATTATTCCAGAACATTAAAAAAAATGCAAGTTAACTGCATTAGGAATTCTATTACTCAGTCTTGATTTCACTAACGTACCTATACACAACAGATGCTAGGAGATCTTTGTTATAGATTGTTTCCAGATATCAATTCTGTCATATTAATTGGCAAAATAATTTTCCTGATTTCAACTGACACAGAATTGATTTTCTTCATGGTGTCTGGTATAATGCTGTGTCTTGGCTTTAGGAGAAAAACTATGTTGATAACACATCAATGGTTTAGTTATTGCTGAGAAGTCCCATACAGAGCCAAGGCCATTTAAGTTTCTCAGCTTCTCATACTTCCTGGTCAGAAAGGGGTTAGGGGTGCACAAGGAGCTGGGAGGGGACAGAACCAGGACAAATGACGTAAAATAGCCAAGGGGACATTCCAAACCATATGACAGAACATGAAAAACCTATAAAACTGACAAGACTGGCTGGGCATTGTTTGGTGTGTGATGAGCAATCGTTTTGTGCATCACTTGTTTTATATAGATTTTCATTATAGTTCTCTCTGTCTTCCTTTTCTGTCTTAGTAAATAGTCTTTATCTCAACCTACAAGTTCTACCTTATTTTCCCAATTCTCTCCCTTACCCCACTGGGAGGAGGTGGAGTGAGAAAAGGCTGTGTGTTGTTCAGCTGCCAGTTGGGTTAAACTAAAACATTAACACATAAGTGCCCTATGTAATTATCAGTGTCAGTGTAACATAGGATATAATTGTGTACACAAAATTGTTTGATTTTTTTTTATCATTTATCACAATAAAATCCTTATAAAATTTCCATTTATAACATCTTCAGTTTTAGCTTAAGCTTTTAAATCAATTATACTCAACTCTATAGAGGTGAGCTGTCTCCCAAATTAAGTTATTTAATTGCAAAATATGGAATCACTGAATCCTTACTTCCAATTCACTGCCATTTGGCTTAGGTTATTTTTTTTAATCTCCTAGAGCATAAGTCGGAACACCACAGTGTACTCCATTTACACAGGAAACAGTTATCATATTTAAGGTTGCCAAGCCTTGTTTGCATTGTTTACAAGCAGCTTCTTTTCTTGATCTTAAATGAATTTAAATTGCCATTCCTCCAATAAATAATGTTGTGATATAAAAATTACATCTTTGCAAGATAAATGCAAAATTAGCACAGAACACTAAGATGTAATTAGACTAACTGCCCCTTCTTTTACCTATGTGCTTCAAAGTTTGCCGTGAACAAACACATCACTGCAGACAATTATGCTCAAACCAGATTACTTGCCATACCAGACAGTAAAATTGTTTAGTGATATCAAGTCATTAACGTTCACATATATATGGCATCTTGGCCAGAAATATTTATAGTATTAGTACTAAAAACATGATCAGGAATGAAACCAAGATGCACTGCAGCCTGTTGGTTTATTTATGCAGCTCAGTGAGGCTTTTGTTCCTGAGTATCCCTTTCCCACAGCTCTCTGTGCTGCTGTACCCCACAGATAAAATGTTCAGGGCAAAAGCTTACTTGCAGTATCTGTATTCTGCACATCGATACAGCATGAGTCTCACCACACCTCTGCTAAAATTCTCTTTTTAATCTTCCTATACAAGGATTATGGTACTCTGTAAGAAATTCTCCTTTTCACTCTGAGGTGAAACCAGTGCAACAAATAGAAAAAAAACGTTAGGAGAAATATTAAAACTCAAAGCAGGAAAAAGTTGAGAACTCAGGTGGCAAGGTGGTTCCAATTTTCTTGAAAGCAATTATCCAACCGCTTCTACCTCTTCTGAAAGAAATGAAGTACGAAGAACTCCTAAATTGGAGTACAGAGACAAAAAAAAGTAATCAATATATAGAAACAGTGTTGCTTTTGATACACACCTTCTCTATAACCAGGTCAATCACGCTGATATTTGAATTGTACAATATCTTCCCATGTAATAAAGGTTTCAGGAAAGTCCATACCAAAGCCCCATTTGAAGACTGTAAAATCTCCTGATAAAGCTTCAGACAAAAAGGAGCTGCAAAAACAAAGACAGATTCGTGTTTCAGAAAGTCAACACGGGTGAGGTTGGCTTTATTTATTTATTTTTTTAATCTAAGTCTTTAGTCTTAATTTACGATCTGTCACAATGACCTGCCAGATATTATCAGCTGACGTTAAATAATCACTTCAGATATCCCAGATTAGAAATTGTTTAACCACTACCTAAAATACAAATTAAAGTTCTGCAACCTCAGTAATTAGGTACAAGAATATAAAGAGCTTCTCACATCAGCTGAAAAACCACTTTCAAAATTCATCTGCCCTAAAGGCTGCGTTAGTGCACTTTAGATGTAGAGATATGCATGTAAAAGCTCTGCACACAAAATTAATAGTGACAGATGAGTCACCTTAATGAACCACATTCACTCCAGACCCTCAGTTTTTCACCAGATTTCATTCCTACTTAAGGATAATAATCCTTTACAAATACAGCTGTTGCACAGTTTCACTAAGATCTGCAAAATCGCAGGAAAAAATTGCATTAGTCTATGATGCCCAATTTCCTGATTAAAAAAATCTAAACGAGTCACTTTTTCATTCCTACCTAAAACATATTTTGTATACCAGACTAAGTTATTCATACACTGGGATGGAATCACGTCCTTCAAAATGAAAAGGAATTGGCCAAAAGATATCCCAGTTTTCACACATGGTACTCAAGCAAAGGTGAAGAGTGGGAAACATTTAGATACTTATGCCTAGCTCATGTACACTATTTATTTAAATTATGAGCAGATTTGCAAATATGCCATTAAACATCATTAATAATGCCTTGAGGGAGATTATTATTGTTATTGTATATAACAGGAAATTAAGCCAATAATATTTAGATTCAGGCCAGATATAAAAGAAACGAAAGTCAGAAATGCAACATTTAGATCTTTCTTCAGACTTCTACTTTCTTCAAGGAAACATTGCTTACTAATGGCAATCTTTGCTAAATGACAGCAAGGAATTAAGAGACTGAACTGCCTACTCAAAAATAGCAATATGCCAAAAAACAGAAGACTTGCTAATTTGAGTTTGTTCTGACTTTCCCACACACAAGTGAACAAGGCTAAGGCAGAGGTTCGGCTCCCTGCTGATATAGCCAAGATTGCAGAAGCAGAGTCCGGTTTCACAGATTCTTTGCATTCTTTTCTTGTATCCAGTCACCAACAAGGTCATTAAGAGTATTAAATTAATCAGGATAAGTCAAAAGTATGTTGAAGAAAGGTAGCAGAGGTGAAATTATGAGAGAACAGACATTCTTGGCAGTTGATAAAGAATAGATATTTCAACTACTAAAACTTATTTTTTCCAGAAAGTCTGCATATTCTACTGCGCAGCACCACCATAATATTATGTTCAAGGAAGAAAGTTATGCAACAATAGATTTTTCCATTTTATAACTTAAAAATGTATTTGTATGCTAAATGATATTTTCCTTCAAGCACAATAAGTTTCTAAGGCATGAATATTCTTATTTATTATTTGAAAGGACAGGAAACAACTAGAACTTCTTGTGTCTCATCACAATTCTCTCTCAGTAGCAAAGCTTCTATTGATCACCCCTTGTGTTTAGGTTTACAACATCAACTGAGTTGTCAACTGGCATTTTCCATTTAAACAGGAAAAAGTATTCAAGCTCTGAAAGTATATGTGCATCTTGTGATCAATAGATTTTCTCACTTGAATCTTCAGGAATCCCATATTTTCCCATATTGTCCTCTAAGAGCCCCGTGATTCTGGGCATATCAACAAACAGGTTTGCATTGCTGAAAAACGGAGATTCTTCTTTACATACTGCCTTGATTACTGATTCCAGCGATCCAACAGCTGAACTTCTGAACTGTCCACCTTGCAAGAACTAGAACAAATACAGATGAACCAGTTACTTTTTGTAGCTTCAGGAAGTACTCCTGGTGTTCTCACAATCTAAGGAAATCAACAAAACTAAACTATTGAAACTGCTTACAAGAACGAGGGCCTGCTGTGCTCTTTTCTGCTTTCCTGATCACCTTTGTCACGGGGGGCAAAAAAACTACTGTAGTTTTAGTTGACAGTTGAAAGACAGTAACATATTATTACATTAACAAAAAAAATACTTGTATTGGGTAGACTCAAAAGAAATGAAAATATCAAAGCAACTGGACTACAGCTTTCACAAAGTCTACTCCACACAAAGTAGAAACAACTGAAGTCAATTTGCATATGAATACTCACATTGAAAACAGTTGCTAAAAAAAAAAAAAAAAGTGCATTACAGAAACCAATCAATATATATATATAATATAATAATATTATAATATTATATATTTATATTATATTATATTATATTATATATTATATATTATATAATATAATATATATATATAATCAATATATCTTTTAACTTATTAGACATACTTCTAGTTTTTGCACATCTTGAATCATACCAGTATTTACAATTACCACTTGCTCAAGACTAGCATCTAATGAGGAGAGCAATCCGACTGCTTTTATGGCTGAAGAACCATCATTAACCACACTTCAAAAATGTGAAGCTTCATTCTTCAGATAACATGCTCAGTTGCAACTGGTGTCTAGTGGTAAACTACATAGGTGCAAAAGAGGATACAGCCAGAAGAAAATGTGCTGCAAAAGTATAACTGAAGAATGTATTGAACCACGCGGTACACATCACTTTTGCAGATGCATGTGAAGAACATAACTGGATTATCAGATAGCATTTTGAGACTGCAAAACAGAAAAAGTGTTTTGATATGTTAGTAAAGAAAATTGATGCTGATATTAACATTTGATTCACTGGAGTTTATTTTTATTTTGTTTTGTTGTATTTAACAGCAGTGTCATTTTTCAAAATAGTACAGTTCTTTACATAAATAATAGATCACAGACAGTTTAGAGGTTATGCTGTTAGAAACTGTTTATTGTGATCAAAGCGTTTACTCAAGTGGCAGGTGCTTCTTTGTTAATTCCTAGAGAAATATACTAACAAGTGTTATTATTTAAAACACCTGACATCAGAACCTGACTTTTTGCGTATGTACATAATAAACAAGTTGACTTCAGATTTCATAGCACCATTACCTACAACTCTGGACTCAATATGCTGGTAACAAGAAATAAACTTCATAAACTGAATAAAGTAATTTTGAATCCTTCCTTGTGACGGCACCAGAAAGGTGAGCTCTGTTTCAGTCAAAGAGCACAAACTCCCTAATTAATTCTGGTTTCAATCAAAATGACTTGAATTTCAAATAATGAATATTTATACAGTGAGCTGCCACCATCAGATTGGAATCTACTAAATGCCTTTCAACTAAAGATCCAATGAATCAATAGAATGTTTCCTAAAATTCTGCTTTGATAAAATGGAAGAACTACATAGGATGTATATTCATAAAATTTATCTTTGATCCACTAGTTCTAGATTAAGCTAAATGAAGTATGTCCACAATCAAGGCTTTTACACTGAAACAAGTAGTCTCTCATTAAAAAAAATAATAATATTAATAAAATAAAATAAAATCAGTCAAGTCAGTTGCCAACTAACTTAAGGAAAAGGAAAATGGGCACCAAAGATTAAAAAGTTATCTGTAACAGGATGCAATTTGCAAACAGGCAACAAAACCTTCATAATATTGAGATTTTTGACCTAACTGAACAGCTGCATACCTAGAAAGTATATGAAAAGCAAAAAAAATTTTAAAGAGCTAATTTATCTGGAGTAGAAATATCAGCTATTCAACAAAGAAAACCCAAAAGTCAATTACAGCTTACAAAGAAAATTTCAAAAATCCAGAATTATTACTGAGCAGACAAAATAAAAAATACATATATTTTCCTGAAAAAGTAGGGGGAGATTAAAGATCATGCAAATTCTGATGAAACAAAAGGGTAAAGGACAACGTACAAAAACAGATATTCTTACTTCTGGACAGAAACATGAACAAGAAATCTGTATTGTATTGACATCAGCAGAATTGGAAAAAAAAAATGGCAAAATTGGCTTACTTGGGTAAAAATTTGTCTGAACTATCAAAATTTAGATAGCAATATTTGAAAGAAAAGTGGAAAGCAAATCTGTACTCAATGATGAGTGGCACAGTGCCCTGGGAGATAATGGTACTTTATTGTTATGTTTAATATGGCAAGACAACACAACACATTTTACTACGGAGACAAACAGTATATGAAGAGTAGAAGTTAATGCTTTATCAAATTATTGCTCCAGACCAACACAATATTTATTTCAGAAGCCAAATGATTTTTCCTGAAAAAGACATATGCTGTCTCTAGTTCAGGTAAACACTACAAATTGATTAATGTACTTCTCCTAGAAAGCATTAATTAACATTAATCCAATATCTATGCAGTGGATAAAAAATGGCCTTAAGAAGATACTGCAGGGATCCTTACGAAGAAGAAAATATTGAATCACAGAAGTTCCTAATGTTTTTCCTGAGGCTGAACTTAAGTTCCCTTCAATGAATTTTCTAGTTCTGAATTGAGAAGTAAACTACAGAAATTTGCTTATCATCCAAAATCTGAAGGCACTACAGGGAAAAGAACACTGTATTGGAAGAAGCCAGTTACCTGATTAAAGTAAGCCAAGTATAATTCCCAGTGCTAAACATTATTTATCAACTGAAATCATTAGTTACTATTATAAAATAAAGTTTCCTGGGTACGTTACTGATCCTTGATGAAATAAGAGGTTCAAATGTATGCATCTGATGGTAAAGATGACTCCCAAAATTAGCAAGTCATTTTAGTAGGCATGGATATGAATAAACAGAACTACAAGTCTCCAGCCATACCTCCCCTAAGGACGGAACATATCTCTGAGCCCCAACATTTAAGATTAACCTTACCACAGCATGTGAAGATGATCCTAGAATGTGTGAGACAATCAAGAGATGGTAACAGAAAAAAAGAAAAAAAAAAAGCTAGAAAAAATCCATTTAACCTAGGAAAACAGAAGAAGACTATGATTTGTGTTCTACAAACGCGTGGGCAACTCAGAAGTTGTAACAGCTACGTGACATTTTTTATACAATAATAAATTTGCTAGTGTTGGATAAACTGAAGTCATAATTTTATATATTTGCAACTTCAAGAAGCTTCTCAGTAATGATAGTTTTAACACAGATCTTGTTACATTTAGCTGAGGGGTAACAGAATGAGGCAGCCTTTCATGCTCAACAGCATTCAATAATTCAGCACCTGTTGTTCTGTCCTGGCCTTACCTAGTCCTGAGAAACAAATAGGCCAAAAATTCACCTTGACATAGAAGTAAATAACTTATAACAACGAACAAACAAGCAAAAATCATGATTGAAATCAGCATTGTTTTTCACTCAAGGGAGTTACCCATTCACTCAATGAGAGTAGCAGTAGAAAGCGGCTCTGTATTCCAGTTATTATTGGCAGAGACTCAGATTTTATGTAATCATTTATTGAAGTGTGTAGAATAACAGTTCAGATTCACACTTTACAGATACTAAAATATTATTTCTTGCTTTTCAGTTTGAGACAAAAAAATCTATATCTGTTATTTTAAATCATACTTAAATTTTTTTTTTCAATTAGAGATTAGGAAAGAATCTGTCTTACTCCCTATTGAATTTCTATGTATTTTTTGCTTTAGAAAGCTGTGCTGCTTTAATTGGTGATGTTTCTGGGTCTCTGAACTATTTCGTTACTGGCTATCAGAAAAATAAAAATCCAAAAGAATGGATTTCTTTGAAAGTAGAGGAAAATATTTAAGGAGAAAAGTACACACACAGTTTAGCCACAATTACTTAGCAGCACAAGATTGGCCACTACAGAAAAGACAAGAAGAAAACAAAATAAATAAGAATTAAAGGTAGTTATTGGAAAGCAGAAAAATGCAGTTGATCCTGAAAAGGATATTTGTGTAGCAATGGGATTCTAAGGAGCAATAGTAGGTAATAAAGAAGAAAAATTGGCTCACTCCTTCCAACAACCAGTGACAGCTCAAGAGAAGTGTAATCTCTGTGTAATGCTACTCCCCCAACTACTAATACTTGAATGAGTGAGGTCGATCCAGCCTCCAACCCTTCTAATCACTCACGTATACTGCATGCACCTCAGCCTCCTGGATTAGCTATGCCATCTCACCTGGTGCTTAACCATTGGTTCAGGCTGTTACCTGGCAATTCCACTGCAGACTAAAAAATAAGCAATTTTTACTTGTTCACAAAAGAAGGAAGTGTTGAAGACAGAAGGGCCATTAAAAACATCATATGACAGTTTTATAAAAAAAAAAAAAAAAAAAAAAGCAAGAGATTTAATCCTTGACAAATGATTATTTGGCAAAAACAAACAGCAACTTACTACACAAACACACAAAAAAGAAACAAAGATTTTTTCAGAATGCAACAAAACATGGCAAGATGTAAAAGAACAAAAAATTCTAGTGTTAAATCTGTTGTAATACTGAATAATATGGGTTTCCATGGAGCAAAGATCAGATCTATGACCAGATGACCCTCTGCTGTTGGAAAAATTTTTAAAACATTTTTAAATGATATTTGCGAAGTTTTTCTATTAGATAAGAAAGCACTTTTGGGATTTCACTCTGAAAAGAATGTTTTCCTTGTTGGAAGGAAAATCTTAAGTTGACATAATCAGAAGTAGTTAAAGGAAAAATCAAAAGATGTAACCTGATGAAAACCACCTTTCTGGAAGTCAGAAAAGTACTCTAAAGAACAAAACCAGAACAAATATGCACAAATCATTATTTTTCAGCATGTCCTTCAGTCATACAGAAGAGCAGCTCGCAAGAAGATTCAGATCACGAGGGACAACAGTGTTTTTAGGTAGTGCTTATTGTAGATGGCAGTCACTATTGTAGATTGCAGTTAACCACTGAGGAATTTTTGTCATTTAGCACCGTATTCAACCTTAAGCTTTCATGCAGCAAATTGAGAAGGTAATGCCAGAATTGTCAGCAGGTCTTCTTATGAAAACGGACTCTTCTTGAAAGGTGGAAACTCTTTTCTAATTTATTTAATTAGCATTAAATAAAAAATAAGATCCACCATTATATCAGCAGCATCGATGTGTACACATTAACTTCAAGAGCGGGGAGAAAAGGAATAATCATCTCATTTCATTACACATTTATTTTTAATGGCAAATAGAACAATGGCATAAAAACATTAAAACAGACAAAACAAGAATTTCATTGAAGATTCAAGAAGTACACGTGCTATCTTAAGTCTTATCCCTTAAAAAAAGTAAAGGTGCTCCTTATCAAAGTAGCTGCTAAACAAAGATAGTTTGTTAATTAAAAAAAGTAAACAAGAACAAAAAACACATCTTAACAACATCTTCTACGGCATGGGCTGAAAAGGCATGGCTACCTCCGAATTCCATGAATAATCACGCTATATTACTAGCCATTAGCTCTTAGGCTATAGTCTCACAGATTAAAAAAAAAAAAAACAGAGATGAAAAAACTCACTAATACAGCATCAAAATAACCAGAGTGCTTCAAAGGACACTCTTTTCTCTAAGTTCCTAACTTTCTAGTATAGAATGTCTACTAGCAATCCTCCTTCTTATCGTACATCTCAAACATCAAAATGGAAATTAAGTTTGCATAGTGAAAATCATACACATACCTGTTGCAGCGCAGAGATGTCAAACATCCCAATGTTTTGAATTGCTTGAAGGAACACTGGGAGGTTTTCCATTACATGCTGGACTTTATTAAGAAGAGAGCTGAGACTAGAGACCACATCCAGTAATGTGCTTAGTACATTGCTCATCTCAGAAGGTATCTTATTCTTGGAAGAGAAGGAAAATATATGGCAACATATTTCATGTAGAAGAAGGAATTTTAAACTTTTGATGAAACATTCAAAATTATTTTATTTCTAAACCTGATTATTAAATGTTCCTGTAAACCTCATTTAACAAAACTCCGTAGTACTCTCAAAAGTCACCTAAAGAATTCTATCTAGAAATTCTAGAACTGGCATAAGACGAATTAGAAATGTAAATTCAGGTAATATGCTTATAGCTGCCAAGAAGGAGAGCTGTCCTACCCAACTTCCACACTAATGGTGTCTGCAACATTCTGCCTCCTTAGAATCCAGTGTAAATGATATCTTTTCTTTCAACAGGTTAAGTGTGTCTAGTGCAACAGTTTAATATTTTTAAAATATAAGTTAAATTAAATCTAGTGGCTTTAGGAATCATATTAGAAAACGCACTTTTCTTTCATATTGTTCCTCCCTTTCCATTTTTAGTATATAATGCCTTTTACATAAAATAATTACATGAATTTCATTCCTTCCTTGATAGAAGTTCAACTGGCCTTTTGTTGCTGTTGCCATGCATGTTTTGGCACTAAGAGTTTGCTTTCTCTCCTTTATTTTTATAGGCCATTTTTACATTATGGTAATGCAAACTGATTATGTCCCTATGCGTGATAATAAAAAACAACATAATCTCATTATATACTCCCATCTGCTTCTTCTATCTTTATTGTATCCACCTGTCTTTGAATAAGACACTTTCTACTATAATAACATCTACTCCTAATATTCCTTTCAGATTTCACCTACACTCATATATTAAAAAAAAAATACCATGTAATAAACCTGTATTTGATTAAAAAGTTAGCAAAACCTCCACAATAATTTAGGATGAGCTGAAAAAAAAAAATTTCTTCTAAACTAGGAACTCATTATGCTTCATTAGAGTTCAGTAGAAGATAGTACTGTTTTTTCCTCCTTTTTGCCACTGTAGGTTGGCATTCACTCCAGAAAGCAGAATTTTATTCTTGGAAGCATTATTTTCTGTTGTGTTTTTTGTTTGTTTGTTTATTTTTTTTTTTTTTTTTTTTATAGCTTTGAATGCAGCACATAAAATAAATACAGGATCTGTGATTGTCAAATTATTCTTCCAGACTATGCTGTAACTTTCCACTATTTGTACTTAATAGTATTTTATTTACAGTGACCCAAAAGATCTGAAATAAATAACTATCACTAATTCCATCCAATAACTTTTCTCTAATAAGTGGAAACATCCCTCTGAAAACCCACATTCAATTCCAGATAATCTACAAATCTCAACACAGCACAAATTTGCTGCAGACTTCTGCATCCCCATCATTTTAATTTTGGCACTGTATTATTCCCATTATTTTCCAGGAGTATACAAACACTGTCTTCTGTTATGATCATAAGTTCTCTAAAACTTTTCTACCAGGTTAAATTACTGTAGTGTTTTCAGTTAGATTAAACAGAGCGGATGCCAACAGACAAAGCTGAATTGTCATCATTCGGTTGTGCTAATTGTTGTTAATAACCACAGAAATGTTCTGAACCAGTCAAAAGTTATCTGACTTAGATCACATGAAATATGGCTGGTTTGCCCTTACAGAGAGTCATCCTCTGAGCTGGAAAAACATATTTACATCATTCCTGAAGAAACCACCTGACTTTCCAGCAGGATTACTACAAAAAAAAATATGTTCCAGGGTGATATAATTTTGTCTTAGGAAATAAGTTTGTAATGCACAGAATGAGGATTCCTATGCTGTTTTTCATTCCAGCGATGTCAAATCAGTGTTTCACAAAAATTAACAAGTGGCTAATCATATGAACTGCAAACTTTGCAAAAGATTAATACAACTCAATCTCTGACCTCCTGTGTTTTCTCTGTTGCTTTCATAATTAACTCCTCACTGATAATTTTCCTGAGGAAGCAAGTATGGAATACAATAAGATCTACCAACCTCGTTCTTCAACTATGTTTGCTTTGCTGAGCTAAATGAGGACAAAAAGGACCACATGGCTAGTGCTAGCTTCCACAGAAAAGGATATTTGAAGCAACAAAATACTATATTTGTTAATTGTACTATTTATCTCCCTTCATGCTTTAAGCCACCTTCAAATGAAAAGCATAGGAACTGAATGATCTTACCGTGTAAATTATATGGCGTAAGTTCAAATTCTGTATAATCAGTACAAATGTGGTGTACAGATCCAGTGCTGGTAAAGAACACAATTCTTCCACTGCCAGGGAGGTTTTGCTCTTTTCAGATAGCTTGAGCAGGAGGCTAAGTACTTCTTCATCACATCTTTGAGTGAAGGCTATCACAAAGGCACTGTAAAAAACCTATCACAATGTATGCATATTAAAAGTTTGTCTTCCTGGAATGCTTGACCTTCCTCTGTAGTAAATAAAATGAGAATTTTTCAAGTAGCATAGCAATTTGCAGTTCTCAACAAAACTGAAAGAATGAACTATCCAGTTCTCTATCAGATTGGTATGCTTCCATTTTATATTCTTATAAATAGATGAAGTGTGTTTCTAATAAACATTCATTTTTATTTGTGAACAGGTCAATTACATGGTCACTGATACCTTAAAGTGGGCATATTTAGAACACTGTCTATATATGTTCTGGCAGATACACCTCTTCGTAGCAGAAACACCTGAATATCAAAACACAAATATGTGAATCATTGTAAAATCAAACAGTATGGACTTTTTTCAGATCACATATTTAACACTCAGGGATGCCTACGTGACACAATGATCACTCTGAGCCAGCTCACATTTCTTAGTCCAAAACTCCTTTGAGGTGTTACTGTTTAACAGAAGAAGGGACAAAAACCTAAGCAGATCTATGGTAAGACTACAATAAAATTTGCTGAAATAATGATTTTCTTTTCTTCTAATAAAAATGTCACAGAAAGGCAAATGCTTTCAGCCCAGATATATAAGCAGTTCTTAGCTTCTCTTTCTTGTGAAATGTCTGAAAGAAAGCAAATGGCAGCAAGTCCAGGAAAATGACAGTTTAGAGCCACAGTACAGAACTCAGGGCTCCATTGCAGTACTCCCTGGGACAGCATCCACTTGCACTTCTTCCATTTAATGCTGCTGATAGCAGCACCCAGTGATGGAATCACCCAATGATTCATAAGAAAATCTAACTAGAACCCACAGTTGGCCAATATGCAATTTAATTCTTTATTTCCTGTGAACATTTTAATCTGCAACCTTTTGAATTTTCAAAATAAATTTTGAAAATTTATTTTTTCCATAATTTTGTCATCATAGAATCATGATGCCAAATCATTTCCTACACTTTTAAATTTACAATTTTTGTTTGTGCGTGTACAGAGACCAGAACATGAGTGTAAATATAATTCTGCCTGTAGCATAAAAAGGTATTGATTTGGATTTCTTGTTTTGATGGAAATCTGACTCTGTTATGCAATTTGAAATTCATATCCTTACTCCCACAGGAACATTACAGTTTCACTCCAGTTCTTATCCATTCAGTACTTTATCTACTGGACCAAGTCCTTCAGAACTCATTTTGCAGCCTTGTGAGTACCAGAGCTATGCCAAACTCCTTATGTTCAGTAAATAAATGCTTATAATCTTGAGATTAAAGGTTTTGCATAGTTTTAAAACACAATCCCATTGCTATAAGAATGCCTAGTGCATAACACTGAGATAGAAAGCTAAGTGCAGCAAGCATGAGCAGCTTACAGGCTTACTCTTACCATCCCAGAAGCAAGCACAGTAGCGCTATACAGTCACAGACACACAGGGCTGCACGTGCCTGTGAGTGTCATTAGTTTTTTCTGACAGTGGCAATATAATCTATGCTTAAAATAGTTATAGCTTAAAAAATTACTTGTATGTAATCACTAAGAGACACAGTTCGTAGTGCTCCAACTGAACAGGGGGAAGATTTAAGTGCATATACATATAAAAAGAATTCTGTATAAATACACAAATGTGAGATGTGTACATAAATCTTAACTCTACGTAGTACTTTGCCAGGAAAAAAAAAAAAAAAAAAATGAAGATAGGAAATTGTTAGAGAATTCAGTCATTTAACATTATTCCGAAAGATCAAGGTGCACAGAATCCCATTTAACTGAATCACTTCCAGATGACTTCTCTCATTACCATTTATGGTATCAAAATAACAAGCTAACAATAAAGGCAGCCATAACACCAAAGGAGTAGAAGAACAAATCATCTGTAAGTAGTCACAACTGTATGAACTGCCTTTTTAATAGCCACACTTTTCACAAACAAAACTTGCAATCACTTCTGCAAGTAGAACATCAGTGACATCCAGTGGCTGGTTGATTGACCTCATCAGTTTATGCCAAATCATTTCAGTCACACAGGCATTAACAGGAAAGAAAGGAAAGAAAACTTTCAGTTAGTCAGCAGTTATTATTTCTACTGTATGATCACAGGGATCACAGGAGACAGCAGCAAATGTAGTATACACACAGGCCTTCCCTCAGAGAACTTCTTCAATCCACTCTTCAGACAATATATAACGGACAAGTAAAGAAGATAAATAAAAGTGAAGCAAAATTCACACAAAAAGATAAGAACAAAGAGGAGCACACCAAAGAATACAAAACAAATCTGACTGCTCGTTACAAGATTCAAATGAGGGAAGACAAAAACCAACAGAATAGCAAAACTCAAATTCAGTGTCAGCACAAAGTGAAACAGTGCTGAGAGTAATGAAGCAGCCCAATTTAGGCAAGACTGGTGCCACTATAAAAATTGTTGTCTTAATATTTCACATTATCATTTTCAAGTCCCAAATCTCATGAACTTTCACATAGAAGTTACAAATGAAAACAGAAGATTTCACATATAATTCATCTTTTGTTTCAGTTGGCTCTGGGTTATTGTGTTAACACTTCTTTTTCATCTTTTACCTTTGAAAAAGAGATATTAGCTTCCAAAATGCTACTGATAGTTTCTTCAGAGATGTTGACAGAAGAAAGAATGTCCAGCCTCAATTCAGTAATATTCTGCACATAATCTTTGACTTTCATATCTGCAAGAAAATAAAAATAAGAGCTATCCAACCTGCTTAATTAAGTTTCCCAGAAACTGCAGCCTCTTCTCTAGATTTTTTATGAGAGGGCATAAAGGGCATTAAAACTTCATATTGCATAAGTTACTTCTATTTCAAATTTACAGGTCACTCTCCATGAGGAACATCCCTCAATAGTCTGCAAACTACAACACTGTCTTGCAAAAAAAAAAAAAAAAAAAAAAAAGAAAGTAGCGATTCGAAGTGTTGAAGAAAACCATAACTCACCATTTAAAAGATTAAAATTGCTGAGAAAAGCTACCACAGGATCTTCTGACAACTGTATCTCCCAATTTTCAATCAGCCTGTAATGATAACCATAGATTCACACTTTACCAGAATTAAATCATTGACTTCAGTATGTATATGAAGTATCATGAAAAATGAAATAGTCCTGAAGAAAAAGGTCAGACACATTATGCTCTGTGTGCACGCTGCACATGCAGAAAGCACCTCCACAAACCTCTGCATGTTGCCTTTATGTAATGCAGAGACTATCAAATTCCTTCCCTGAATCAGAATGTCATGATGGGAAGATGTCTATGCTTGCAGTGCTCTACAAAAAATGGCTTACGGAGAAGCACAGGTCTAGTAACATCCCACTTCCATACTTTTTACTGAGCACAGAGTTTTAAATCCTAGAGATGCAAAGCATTCTCATTACAGATTAATTAATTCTAATTCTAAGCAGAGAATTCAGAGCGTTCACACTTCCGAAATTATTTGCTATTAAAACACTGGGTATTCATCTACAGTCTATAAGAAAAACCCCAGGGCCCACATTCCTCCATGTTATTTCAATAATTCATACAGAGCTTTTAATCCTATTATAAAAATAATCAAACCACAATAGCAACAATTACAAGAGCAGCCACTTCTAACCTACAATTAATTTCAAATACAATCAATTTGAAATATGTAGTAGTTGTTTTATTAAATTACTTAAAATCTATTATTTTTCCTCAAGTAATTAAGCAACTATGTGAAATTATTTGGACCTCAATCCTGACAGTTTACGAGCACTCACGAACCAAAAGATTAGATATAAGTGCTCAGCAAAAGTATGAAGTAACCAGAATTTTGCTAAATAGCAACTTAAATAATATCTGCATTGTATTTGCTCAATTTTCAGTTACACAAACAACAAAAAAAGAGACTGATTAAAAGTATTTATCCTCTAACTACAAAATATAGAACACGTGCACAAAATAACATCACTAACAAGAACCATTTGGGGTACTGAGATGTAAGAGGCTTTACTTTTGCAAGCGTCTCTGGATGTTCTCCAACATTAGTTGACAGTCACAGCTGCCATCAGTAGTATTCTGTAAGGCTCTCAGGAAGCTCTCTAGATTATCAGAAAGTTTTAGGTTTACATATGCCATGCTCTCACAGTCTCCCTTGTTGAAAATCTTCCACATTCTTTCAATACTCTGCAAAACACAGTAATCATTTTGTTAGCAAATTCATAAGGTCATGTTATTGCTTGATATGGGTAGTCTTAGCAATCTAATAATGCATATTTTCAATATGACAATATGAATAAAGTACTACTAATTTACTCAAGTACTACTAATTTACTCACACCATTTGAAACTGGGCAAAGATTTTCCAGAACCCAAGAGTTCTGAAAGATTTGAGTTTCGTGTAGTGAAAAATTGTTGTGAATTCGCCTAATATCAAGGGGGCTCATCCCATAACAGAAATTTCAATATTTTTACTAAAAATTTCATTTCAATAAAATTGCTTTTATTTTAGGCTAACCATTTTCTTATTTTCCATCAGCAAACTGAAAATTCTGGATACCTATATACAAGAGCTTTCTTGCATCATGCACTGTTGTTAATTTTCACTTCTTTTTGCTCCTGAATATTCACATTTCTGATCTTGCTATTTTATTTTTGCAGAAGTTTGTCACAGTACAATGGAGACTAGAGAAATACATTTCTTCAGCAAATGCCTACTTTAAGAATCACAGAATCATAGAGTCACAGAATTGTAGGGTTTGGAAGGGACCTCCAGAGATCATCGAGTCCAACCCCCCCACCAAAGCAGGTTCCCTACAGCAGGTCGCACAGGTATGATACATAAGATATGAGTGCTGCCTCTTCTGCCTGTTTACCTTAAAACAATGAATTTCCATTCATGTCAGCAAGTTCTCCAGGTAGACAGAATACAGACTAGAAGAACTATTTCATGAAAAGAGGAGGTAAATTCTGCACTAAAAGCATAAAGTGAGTATTTTGTACATGTGTGCACAGATGTGCACACATCTATGTGTGATAACCAAAGCTCTGGATGAATCAAACTAAATGCCAGATGCTACTGCCTCCCAACCCAGACTGCAGGTAATTTCATGCACTGTTAAAAAAATAAAAATATGGATCCCCATCTGGTAACCACAATTGCCATTTTTAAATTGAACAGCTTTATATTTAGCTTGATTTTCCAGCTGTTCCTGTAAAAGTTTTAAAGTATAAATGTACTCTTATTCCTGAGATTAGCACTATCATAAAACTTAGAAAAACTAAAATGGTCTGCTGTTTGGTACTGAATGGCAATTCAGTTATTCTAGTTACTGTAATTCAAGTTATATTTACAGCGTTTAAAGCTCATTAATTTGAGGAATTCCTTCTGTGTATCACTATAACATGCATTAGAACTACACCCATACAAACATTAGTTTCATATAGCCCTGTGGGGACAGATCATTTTAAAAGCAGGAGAAAAAATCGTCTGACATTAGTCTCCCAAGTATAATATATTCTTCAAACAACACCTATAGGTGTGAAAACTGTTCAAACCTGATAATGGTCTTGAACCAGAGTGATTCCTTCAATTATAGAGATTATTAAGTGACGCATCATGCCATCTTTACACTTCATAACAACACAGAAAAGGTTGCCAGTGACAACTGGTTCTTCTGTAAGATAGAGTCCAAAGCTTAATCATTTAAAAATGCGTACATATTGGTCCACAAATGAAAAATTAACCAAACAAAAAGGAACAGAAAAAGGTGGATTTTTTTCTAAAAGCAAATAAACACAAAAGTCTGATGTGTTTAAGGCGTTAAGAAATATTTCTGACCAACTTTATTTTCCATTAGAGTCCAAGAAGGGCTTGTTAGATTAAGTTCCCACTGCTATTCACCATTACATAATAAGAAATTATACCCTTATGTCAATGCAAGGCCTTTCTCAATGCGTTCAAATTTAATGCCAACATGAAAAAGTAAGTCAAAGGCATTCATACAGAATAATTTGTTCAAGTTATTGAGCTGTAGCTAGCCAATCCACTGCTTTAGCGCTGTTATAGTCTACCCACAATCTACTCAGAAGCAGGAGGTAAAACTTCCTTCATACATTTGCTCAGTTTTTCATTTCTATTAGAATGCTTCCTGGCTCCAACGTTTGATCATTAAAAAACTCCATAATTTTATTCACTTCACTAATCTAACAGAAAAAAATCCAGCAAAAAAATATGGGACAAAACCCAAATGCCTATACAGACTTCCACTTGTTCTGTGAGTTGAATCAAGGGAAGAAGGAAGAGGTCCTGGTAAGTTAGAGCAAGCCCAGGAAGCAGGGAAAGAATATGTGCCTAAAAAAGATAGGAGAGGAGCTGTAAGACCAACTGCTTTCACTCAGACTTTTAATCATTATGGCCACTCCAGAAACCATCTCTCTATGAGATCAAACTGTTTTCCTGTGCCTTTGCTGGTTTCATTTCCCTGCATTAGTATACTTGCACTGCTCTGCATTGCCCAAATTAATTCATTTTTATAAATTCTCTCAGAGTAAAGTCTTAACAATACAACTAGAGCACACAGTGATCCAAACAGCCACAACCATGGTAACCAACCTGAGAAGATTTTAAGAATATTCAAAATGGCAAACTGCAACTTATGCAATAGTAGAACACTAGCAGGTTGTAAATGTTTCTGAAGAATTTCACATATTTTAGATGCTCTGTGGAAAGATTAATGAGAAAGTGTTATTTTCATAATGAATGTACCATAACAAATTTCCAGTGACTACATACAACTACAATCATTAATGAACCATGATAGGATTTTAATACTAACAGTTATATGACTAGCCATTAATCCAATATTTGTCTGAACTGTTTCAGAGTCAGAACATGTTTCCATGGAATTAAAAAACAGTTTTTCATCAAGATAAAATATCATCAAGTATTTTAGTAAAATCATAACTGTTTTTAAGCTATTTTTCAGAAACACATTGCTCACAGTACCTCCTGAATGAGAGCAAAGAGCAGAACACACAACACCTCTGAAAATCAGCATTTTGGAAAAATAAACCACATTTCTAGCATTGATTTTCATTTTTCAGTGGATTGGGCTAATACCATATTTGCATAAAAATGAATCTCCAATTTCTAAATAACATATTAGAGTCACACAACAACTTCATTACACTGTTTCTCTGTTATGCTACATGAGTAGGACCACCGGTCCCATCAGTAAGACCACCTAGAACTGTCTGAAGCAACCTTCTCACGAGATTCACTGAGCATTACTTAAATGCAGCAACTCTGGTCTAGCAGCACTTCTATTAAATAAGTTGTTAGTAAATATTTCCCCAAAGGAGAAATCCTCTGCTGCTAGCCTAAATTATATTTGAGGAACCTAACAAAAGTGATCATGGGCTGTTTCCTTCAGAAATTACATTTCTCAAACTGAACACCTTAATATGTATTAACCGTAATGCGTACAGATGATTGTGTATACATGTATAAAACTATATGCATCAACTATATTTATATATATTTATATATTGACTGAAAAAATTAATATTCAAATACATTTTCGTGTATATATATTATACATGTAAGTATATGTACTGTACTCATACCCTCTAAGGGACGTACTGTTTGCATAAGACATCATCAATTTAAGTTATTTTTATTCAATCCTAGTCACAGTTTTCAAAAGAAGGATCTCTCAAAACACCAGTAGAAACCCTTTTGTTTTTTCCCCTCACATCAAGAACTAATTGCTTCCTGAATTTTCTCATCACTGAAGAAAATGAATACATGCGCTGTAATCTGTTTTTTGTTTTCTACTGTGCAAAATTGCTTGAAGAGTTAGTGCAGGAATCTGAATTACTTTGTGTATGATTTCAAAGCACTTGTTCATTCAACCCCTGAGGCCTAGTCACAAGAAAATGAACAGTCTGTCAGTTGTAAAAAGCTTGAATAAAACTGTGGTTTGGTTTTCAGAGCTGAAAAGTTTTTAAAGCAACTAATTTCTTGAAATAGTTGATCCTGTAATTCCAAAGAAATCACCTTGATCATCAATACAGATCACTAAGCACATCAAGAACTTGAACCATGTGATATAATTTTATACATCTACTGTACACAACATAACATGAAACACAATATTACTTTATACAAAGGCACAAATATGAAATACTATAGTAATAAAAAACTGAGCAAGCTGCATACGAAGAGTCCTTTTGTCACTGCTGGGTTTTGGCACACGTTTACAGTAGTACATAGAAATTGCTTACCTCAAATACTTTCCTAAAGCTACGTTATTCCTGTTATGTTCTGTGAAATATGCAAATGTAATTTGCAACACTTCTTGCATGATCTCCAGAGTTCTGCTTTGTGACAGAGTAGAAACATTTTCGTATTGCGCATTATCAAAAAATGAATCAATGAAGTCAACTATCTTAAGCTCAGTACTGTTTGCATGCAGAGCTTCTTTTGTAACAGCAAGGTCATCAATCATATGAAAGAGAAAGTTTCGAAAAACTGAATTAACAATGTAAGAAGTATTCAATATCTCTCTGCTAAGGTGATCATCAATAAACAACATATCGGTGTAATCTTCTTTAGATTTATTTTGGAATAGTTCCAGAAAGTCAATAATATCTTTAACAACCAGCAGTAGATCTGACGACTTTTCTTTAGCCATAAGAAGGACTAGAGGTTGCATCACTTTAGAATAATTTTGATTATTACACTCACACAGAAAGCTGTTCATAATCTCTTGTATGTCTTCAAGTTTTCTTAACGCAGCCTCTACACACGATGTATTAAACTGCTGTATTAACACATCAAAAGTCACTGAAGAGGACCGTCCAGTGGCTAACCTTAATAGCTGAAACTCTTGGTCTATTACTGCAAGCGATTGTCTCACACTGAAATTCAACAACAAATCTATACTTTTAACTACAGGAAACCAGATGTTCTCGATGTTATCAGATATATTGTTTCCATTTAAAGATGATAATACCATGAGTATCGAGTAAGCCTGGTTTTCAACAGATGACAAAGTCATGAAAGGCTGAACTACAGAAAGAAAAGAATGGACAGCTTCTGTATCCAAAAGTCCAGAAACTTCAGTTGTCACGTTCTTGACATAAGGTAAAACAGTCTCTATAAGTGATATGCTTGAGTGCCTGCTCCAGCTTAAGCCACCATAAACATCATTCAGCTGTTCAAGAACATATTCAGACATCTCTATTTCTGCTGCCGGCATACTACTCAGAGTTTCTATGATTTCTAAAGCCACTTTTCTCTTTGACGTGGTGGAACAGTTGACAGTTGAGTTTGTATTATTTGCCTGCAGAGGCACAGCATAGCGGTATAGCTCATTCCAAAAAGCTAGCAGTTCTTTAAGAAGTGAACCGTTTATATGATGGAGCTCAGAAAACTTCAAAAGAATAGAGTTCCATTCTTTAATCTGATGAATAAAGCAAGTGAGATTATGAGTAATGTCAGTCTGAAAATCTTCCATAGTGCACAAGAAGCTGTCATTCAGAGAAACAAGTTTCACTTCTTTGTGTAAGACTGCATTGTGATTCAGAGGAAAATTACTTTGCATAAAGTCACAAAGTTTGGAAGTGGGATCACTCCGAGGTGTTACCATTCTGAGAATCCAGCAGAATTCTGCAGAAAAACAAATTGAGGCCTCTGCGGGTTCATCAGGCACATCTGTCAGTGTCTCTAATAACGTGAGTAGACTTTCTACTTGATTAGAGATTTCTTCCTTTGTAAACATTGACATTTTTGCTTCTTGAGTCAGTGCAAAAGTATACACATCAGCTAGTACTTCTGTTATGTTCCCATGAGCTAGACTTTCCATAACACTGATGACATCAAGGAGAAGATGGAACATCTCTTCTACATCAGAGAGATCCTCTTGAAAAAGTTGCGTGATGTGCCATAAACCAGTCAGGTTCCAATTACATGAACTGTTCTCAAATGCATCCCACCAGTCTATTAACATCTCTAACTCAGAACTCCCCCTATGCAGAGGTTTGATATTTTTAAAGAAATTGTCCAAGCCCATCTGGACTTGTTTGAATTGACCTATCAAGAACTCAATATCCATGTTCTTCAGATTTTGCACCAAGGTTATCATGTGCTCTAGAAAGTCTCTACCATTTCTTATTGGAAAACTAGTAAGGCTTGAAGACTTGAAAATTTTGAGACCTACCAGTTTACCATTCAGAGCTGCTTTTTCTGTCAGTCTCTCAAGAAGTGTATTGTATTCACCCTGCAATTCATGAGGCAAGCTTGAATTGAATTTATTGAGTTTACTAAGCACAATTTGAAATATCTCCATCAACAAACTGATACTTTTCTCATCAAAGAAAGAGGAGCTGCTTTCTTGCATTTCAGAAGTTTTGTTTTCAAGAAGATGCTGAATTTCTGACAAAAGTTCTATTGAGGAAAGCCAAACACTGTGGAAGGGATTAAGGAAGGTCCCTAAAGTGCTGTTAGATCCATGGACTGAGTGATTGAAACCAGTATCATCTGATGTATTTTGTGAGTGACCCACTAAATTATTCACAGCCTCTTGTATTAGTCCTCCAGAATTATTTAAGAATGTAAAAATATATTCAAGCACATCAGTGTCATTTTGTACATTAAATTCAGGGAGAACAACTTCCAAAGCTCTTCCTATAATATTGAAATATATGTTTACACAAATCACATCATAACCAGTTACAGAGCACTCAGGGATCATAAAATTGAAAATTGAATTAAGGAAGTCCACAATGTTTTTTAGCTTAGCATTTGTCTCAGTGTTTCCCAGAGATTTCAGTAGAAATAAAGTATGTTTTGCATTTTCAAGGTGAGAAGGTGACTTGTATTTTTCACTGAGATAATGAAGTCCATGGATCCACCCATTACAATTCTCTACTCCTTCTATTACACTGTAAGATTTGAGCAGGGAATGAATATAGGATGAAAAATTCAATTGTGAGTAGTTTATGTTTTTCAGAGTACTGTCAGAAATGAATTTTGTAATATTCTGTAAAACACTAGCACAAACCAAATATTTATCTAGAGGTGCATATGTTAAGAAAGCAGCAGTGTCCTTTATCTCAGCAAGAACAAATCCAAGTTCTTTTTGGGAGAGTTTGAGAATAGTAGAAAGTGAATTCCCAATGGAAAACTCACTGGAGCTCCTTTCTCCCTCAGATCCTCCTGAGATGAATGTATTAAGCCAAGAATTCAAAAAGTCTCTATTAACAACCTTTAGTATGGATTGCTGCAATTCAGTTATCACAACTTCAATCATTTCTAAAACATCATCTGAACTGTTACCTTTAAGCGAACTTGCATCATCAATTGCATTTTCAAAAACATTTTCAAATACAGAAAGGTAAGTTTCAAAATCTTTCCAGTCACTTGAATCACCACCTTCAACTATCATTTTCAACAGATTAATTGCTGATATAGATTCAACAATAGCCATAGTTGTTTTATTGCACAGTTCATTATGAGTTGTATTTAAAATGCTTTCAGAGAGGTTTCTCAAATCATTTCTTAGATAGACAAAAAAGGTTGAATTCAATTTTAAGATTCTGGATGTTTCTTCAAAAATCTCTGTCCATATTTGAAGCCATGTAAAAGTACAATGCAAAGCAGAAGATAAACTTACCTTATCTTCCAGTTTTGTTATATTATACAAGACACTGTCCAATGGAAACAGGAGATTGTAAACCTCTGCTGAATCATGTACAGAAGTGATGTTTGATGGATAAAAGTAAACGCACCCATTTCTTACAATGCATTCTGGGGAGATGTCAAAAAACTGTTCCAAATAACAAAAGGCAGCTGCTTCAAGGTCTTCATCTAAAAATAAGGTTTTAAGGCTGCTCAGAATATTATAGACAACTTGCAACTCTTTTTTGCCTTCCTGTATAAAAGACCAGGCCTGAAATTCTGTGTAATTGTAAAAGGCCAGTAATTTTTCACAGAGTGACTTATTGGTAAAGTTCCAGAGAAGATCAAAAGTTTCAGATAGAAAATCAGAAATTCGGTCCGTATCTCGGAAATCATTCCATGTTTGAAAGGATGAAATTTCTTTTGAGGTGTTATAAAGAAACATCAAAGTGTTATTGCTCTCAGCGTTTAAGAGCAGATCAGTGTTCTGATACAAAGAGAAAAGTATCTGAAGAAGTGAGTCCGCACTACTACTGTTTGATTTTTGAATGTCTTTAAAGAAATTGGGAACAATTTTGCCTAACTCTTGTACTTTATATATAAACATTGCATTTGACAGTAATGAAAAGGAGGTATTACTCACTCCATGACCTATGCTGAAAGATGCATTGACATGACTGTCAGCCAACGATACAATCTCATAGAGATCCCTTAGAAAGTTTTCTCTTAAGTATTTTAGATGGTTCAGAGTAGGACTATTTAAATCTTGCCAATCTGCTAGGATATTTTTGAGCAATTGAATGCTTCTATTAAGACTGTTTTTATTTTCTGTAACAGGAGATATAAAACTAGATAAAGACTCCAGTGTCTCCTCAACTTCCACTTGACCTATGTGAGAAACCCTGGAATCAAGTTCATGAGACACAATTTTCAACATTTCCCAGAAAAAATCCGTCTTCTCCTTCATCCAAAATCTCAGATGAGCCTGAAAATTTTTTTGTATTTCATTATAGAGCTCAGAAACTGCAAGTGAAACATTTCTTGTGGATTCCTCCCCTTTCATCCACGTAATCACTTCACTCAAGGTAGTTTCCATTAGAGGTCGGATGCCTGAAAGAACTGAGAAGTTAAACACTACAATTTCTTCTACAATTTCTGCAAGATGTAAAATGTCATCCATTTCTTTTTCACTTGAAATCCATATATTTTCTTCTGACTTCAAAAACTCTTTTATAGATGTCAAATTCCTGAAATATTAAGCACAATTGTTTTTTCTCATTAGTTACCTGGCAGGCAGGCAGGAGTCAAATAAATATATATATTTTATAATTTTAGAATATAGTTGTATTTACTTAAGTCGAAGAAAGATCAATTATTATTCAAACAGCAGTCCATAAGTAATTACTACAAGACTTTAAATAGCTTAACTGATGATCACTTCGGTTTTCAAAAACATGTCAGAAAAACCTGGAAAGTCACAGACATTTAAATTAAAACCTGAATATAGGTATCTAGGTTACAAAAGAGTGCATTTAGCAGCACTTATAATTAACTGTGTAAGCCACAAAGAGTCAAACACCTTTTGTTTTAAGTACCTCATACATTCTGAGGTTGAAGATAGTTTCTCCTTAATTATGTTCTTTAAGTACTTAAAAAGCAGAAGGCCACACATAGCATTTAAAATGTTTGTGAAGGATTTTGTTTCCATTTTGTTAGTACTATTGCAGAAAAAAAAACAGTGCATGCTCTAGAAACAGTATTTCAGATATTTCGTCTTACAAACATTTAGCTTGTACTCTAAATATCATAATCATTTAAGATTTGGAAAACTCAAATCATCAGTTACTTGTTTCTAGAGCCCATTTTAAATTAAAATTCCTATCAAGTTTCAGTGAAAAGCATGACATGGCCTGTTGAAACAGTACAGGCAACATTCCAAAGTACACCGAAGACAACATATGTCACGTTTAAACTTTCAATTCTTCATCTTTAACTTCAATGATGGTGGGTTGTTTTTTTGTTTTGTTTTGTTTTTCCATTTTACAGGCTACACAGGGGATTGAAATAGCAGAGAGCTAAATAGCTGCAGAATGAAAAATAAAGTCAGAGTTCAGAAACGTAACTTAGTTAGAAAGCGCTCTTATCAACGTGATCATCTGCAAAGCACAGTAAACAGTTAATAGCATTAAATAGCAGCCACAACTAGTTTAAGGAACTAGTTTAAGGCTGTTCCATGAAATATGTGTTTTTTCTTGTTTAAACAGAGTGGTGATTAAATGTCTTCTGTTGTACTGTTCATCAGAAGCATAACGTAACTGTGATAAGCAGGCTTTGTAACAACACTTTACTTACACTGCTTCCCAGTAACACTGAACAGCACCAGCTATTTGGAAGAAAATGGCACAGTAACTGCGTTAAAGAACTACAAGCATCCAAAGTAGAGATGAGGTAATGAGTTCCACAGATAAAGAAATTGCATTGATTAGTTCAACCTTACCGTGCCCAGGAAATAAATGAGGAATAATCTGATAAATCATGCAGAAATGCTAATAAATAATGACTTAAGATAGTCTCCAAACCAAGTTTCTGACTAGAACATAGAGATGCTTCAGATCCACCTGCAAAAAATAAAAATTTCAATACCAAAAGACAGATCAGGGAAACTTTATGAACAACTTGATCATCTCACACTGAAACAGTCTTAAAAACTTCTATCAGATGTAGCAGGACTTGTATTTCCCTCTCTGTGGATAATCATTGAAGTAGATGTTAAAAGAATGAAATATGCAATTTTTAGTAAAGGATTTCATCTTAATTCTAATTCTATTCAAACAAATGAAATACATTATCAATAAATATCAGCTCTACAGAAGACACATCTGTATCAGTCAATCCATTAAAGAAAAAAAGGAAATACAGACAATATATGAACTTCAGAAAGACTAGAAAAAAATAAATTAATTTTGTTACGTAAAAAGTGCACTTAGTAGTGCACTCAGAAACTGAAATGTACTTTACTATTTTTTTCTCCTTGGAATTATATTACAGTACAAAAAGAAGTAGTCTTGTGAAATTCAGTTATTAATACCTAGAAATCCAAAATACCTGAACCGTAATTGATTTTTAAAATTGTGCAATCAATTCAATTCATATTTTAACAGTTTATTTCACTAATACAGTTCTTTGATTAAAGAAAACTGCTTTTTTTTTTTTTTTTTTTTGCATTTCATTTCTTAGCAGCCCACTTACTGATGAAGTATTAAACACATTTCTGATTAGCTTTATGAGCAAAAGGACAGAGGGCAGAAAAAGGAAAATGTTTGGAATAAACATGCTCTTCATAGATCTTTATAATTGTCATTAAAAAAAAAAAAAAGCCAAGTCCTTCAGAAGATGGAAATGATGGAAATGTAAGCAGTGGAAGAATGTAAACACTGGAGAGAATACTCAAAGGAAATGAATGGTGATGTTGAAGAAGGTAATTTTTTTAACCCCTATGGATCAGCTATATTGTGCCATGCTCCCAAGCCCATTTCCACCACAAAGCACTGAATGGAATAATACAAATATTTTACCAGCAATAAATCTAAAATTGCAAAAAATCTCTCCCATTCCTCAGGTGACACATGAGAGTTTTTCCAAAAAATTTTACTTTTGACCAAATAAGAAAAAAACTACTATATTTCAAGCAAGTTAATGGCAGATGGCTCAGGACATGTGAAAAAACACAGGATGGGATGAAGGAAATCAAATACAAAGTCACTGACTAATTTGAAACCAGTCCAGGAATATCACTACATAGTGGCCAGCTCATTGAGTCTTCCATTTACATGCTGGACTTGACAAGTCTTCCTGAAAGAATACCACTGCAAGAAAATGAGACTCCAACCTGGTTCAACCAGTTTGAATTTTCTCAACAGAAATGATGATCCAAAGAATTTCCATCCAGCACTAAAAATTACAGATATTTTCCCAAATCAGCCACAGTATATTACATGTTTTCTTTGCTTACAGTTCGGTCATTTGGTGAAATTAATGAAAACAGAAACATAAAGAGGCTTAGAAGTGTTAAAATTATCAACTTGTCCCTTTCTGAGGATAACTGTCCCCTAAAATTGAACAACCAGAATAAATCCTGTGCAGTAACTCTTTACTTACCTAACTGATCTCCTGTGGTGCCTGCTTCCTCATCTGTGAGCTGAGCTACTTCGCATGTCCATTGGACAAAAGTTGTTAAATACTTCCAGTATGGGTTTTTTTCAAAAGTAAAAAAAAATTCTTCAAGGGTAATATTAATTCTGAAATGACACAGAACTGGGTTGGTATGGTTAATCCAGTGATTAAGTTACAAAGAAAATTAGCTTGTGAATATATGGAGTTTCTCTGCAAACCTTTATCTAAATTTATTACTATTTAATGCACATGGGCAGTGCTATTGACTTCAGAAAATAATTGAAGCAAATATTCCAATGTCCACGCCACATTCCTTTTCCCATTTCTTTACTGAAGCAGCATAGTTATAACGCCACTCTAAGCACAACTTTATCACTACACAAAGGTTTTTGAGCAGACAGAAATTCTAAAATGCCTTTTTTGAGACATCAACAAGGTTCACTCATTCAAAAGTAGCATTTTGAAATTGAAAACAATATCAAGAAATGCTGCTTCTTGTCCTGGGTATGCCTTTGCATTAATCAGCAAACAGAACCCCACATAAGAATAGCAATGCTTTACTTGCTCGGTGTTACTTAAATACAAACTTCTGCTCCCAGAAGCCTCCTAGCTCTTTTAGTAGTTTCGATGCTCATAAAATAAAATGTAAAACTACTAGTAATGCTGGCAATTTCAAACACAGGAGGCAATCAACCACCATCTAACAGCAAAAGGGACAAAAAGTAATATAAATTTTCTACGGTCTAAGATATTATTAATATTGGTGATTTAATCTTTGCTGCCAATTCAGTCTTGGAATTTCTGATAGATCCTTGAATCACAGAATCACACAGAACCACAGAATCATAGGGGTTGAAGGGACCTCCAGAGTTCATCAAGTCCAACGCCCCTGCCAAAGCAGGGTATCACTGCTTTTGTAGTAAATTCCTCCATTAAATTTCTCACGTGTGTCAGTAGTCCAGGCAAATTTGTGAGAAGACAACTAAATCTGTGATCCTGGACATCTTACCACAGTAAACATAACTCCACATTAATGGCATGATGTTCATGCTTCGCATAGCTAAGCAATAATAATAACATCCTGTTTTATTTTGAAGCAATTAATTAATATAGAGATTCATTTATAATAAACAGAGTCTTAACCCTATTATCTATTCATTAACTCATTATAATACCTTATTCCTTGATGGCATCAGTACCTTTATATACATCTGAGAGATACATACAATGAGAAGAGAAGCTGTTCCTCACAAGAGCTGAAATGGACATCCTCCTCTGCACTCAGCAATGGATCAGTTTCACAGTAATAAGCATAATTTTCAGCCAACTCTTCTTCTATTTCTTGCCATCCCAAAAAATCATCCACTATTGAATCTGGCACGTTCTGTTGTCCCTGAGTTACTTTCTGCAGGAGCAGGACCTTTCATGGTAAACAGAGCAATAGTGTGAAACCAGGAAAAGGCAAACTCCCCTGAGAGTTTAGTCCTGATTTTTGCAACAGTGTTCTTGAAATCCAACATAAAATACATTTAATGTGCAGGGCTTCAAGTCTTCTTTTTCTGGAAATCACAGCTACCTAACTTATCTAAAACATCACATTCACCCTACAGGACCACAAGTACTTTTCCCCCAGGCACATTCTAATCAGTTCAAGTAATCAGTTACACTCACTCATCATTATCAGCAAACACTAAGCAGCAAGATATAACCCTAATTAATTTATGACATTTTGTAATCCCAATATAAATAAGGCACTGCAAGCAGAATCTAAACAAGAATTCAGAAATACTTACAGCTTTCCTTAGTGACTGGAGCTGGTTACTTTGCTTGAAAGCCACCTCCGAGTCATTGCCAGTGCACATATATATGGCTAAATTATCAGCGGTATCAGAAATCTGTGGATGTCTGAGGGCCTTCCCAAACATTGTAAGCACATCAGCACAGACGTAGGAAGAGTTGCTCATCAACATCTAAAATGTAGTGAATACACTGCCACTTTAAAAATGCATTAGAGGATAAAGTAACAGAATAATTAACACTCCATTTTAACTTCTCACACTTGAATCTAAAATTTAAAAGACCAAAAGAAGTACAAAGTAAAGTTAGACTAAAATGCTGAAGAATGAGAATTTAGACACTCTATTCAGCAAGTACTATACACTCCCAAAATAACCCTGTGCAACCTTATCAGAGCTAATATATAGACGTCAAATGACAGCATACCTGTTTTAGCTCCACAAAAAGCTTTTTGATGTCCAGATGAACAGATTCATTTCTTTGGGTAAAGGGAATCATTTTCTCCAGGCTATGTAAAGCTTCTGTAAGACAGTTCCCCATCACCACATACAAAAAATACGTAACCTACAGAATGATTCAGGGGTAGGAAAGTAAACTATGCATGACATGGTTTGAAAAACAGAGCAGTTGGAGAGACAAAAGTTCCAACCTGATTAAGATTATGTCTCAGCCCAAAGCATTCAATCATTTTGCACAAAGCAAAAAACATAGACACAATCTGCTCTTCTGAGGATCAAAGACTGTTCTCTCCTCCTGCATCCCCTTACTGGAAAAGGTTCAAGACACAGCAGGAAGACCAGTACTATTACACCATGACCTTATCCTCTTTCACAGTTATATTAGAGTCATTCCACCAACTTCAGCAAGATTTCATTATTTTCATGAGAGGAAACTGTGGTCCCTGCAATAACTGCCTTTGGACAGTGCAAGTAAGGAGTAATCACCATGCAACTTTACCGTCAGTGAAGTTTAAATACTGTAATACTACGTTCCTCAGAGCTCTATCTACCAGACGTAATCTTTTCACAGCAGACCACTGAGGCAGAGCTTGCAGCACAGCCTGCATCTTCTTCAGATATAGGATTCTGCAAACAAAAGAAGTGGAGTACAAAACTGTTGTGCGCCATAAGTAAAAAGGTAAAAGTCGCTGGAAAATTGTTATTTATTATTGTGTAGACTCTCTATCATCTGTATCTTCTTATAAAGCAGCAGTATAGCGGTTTCCTTGTATAAAAACAAACTAAATGTCAAAACTTCTGCTAACTATTGGACAATTTAACTGCAATTCTCTCTGAACACTAGATCGTGGATTTTATAAAAGCCTTGGAACACTAAGAAAGGAGCAAAATATCAAAGAACTCTTCTAACTTGCAGCAGTCACTGATCATTCTCCCAAGTGAGGAGTGCAGCTAGTTTTAATGAACAAGTCTTCTTTTCTCAGACTAATTTCCCTAAAGAATGAAAATTTTAATGCAAGAAAAGATTTACACACAATCATCTCCTTTCCTTCTTTCCAGCAAACATGGAAAAGTTTTCCACAAAAAAAGTCCATTTTCCATCAAGTCACTTACTGAAATTAAAGAAATTAAAGAAAAAGAGGCACTAGTTGCTATTCCATTAGAGACTGCTTGGTTATAAAATCCTGTGCTTAAATTTCACATTTATTTGCATGCTAAGGAAAGATGCTGTTGTATTCTTCTGCTTAGATATTTTCGAAAATGGAAAAAGGACTATGCCCAATTTGTAAGTGAATTAAACCAGCAATAAATCCACAGAACCAAAGGTTGTGTGATCGCCTTCTACTTGTGGGTGTACTGTACAGAAGCTCTTTATATCTTTCAGATTTATCCTCAAACATGTAGTATAAAAATTCTCTTCTCCATAGTAGGCTTCTGTTCAAGATCTCCTTTGAAAACTAACACAAGTACAATCCCTACAACAAAAATCCAATACAATTCTGATGCACTGGACTTGTTATGTGTGAGTAGATCAATCCTGTGGCAGACTTGCATGAGAAACATAACTGAGTCACAGCAATTATTTGTGGGAATTAGACTCTGTAAAACAAAGCAAAGCATTCAGACTTTAATTCATCATGCTGTTTGTTTCTATGAGTTCGGATAACATACTCCGGTCTTCTACTAAACCTTAGGAATACTCTGTAGGAATACTCTGAATCACAGATCAAATTTCTTTTTCAGAACACATATGCATTAAAGCAATTATCTGACTGCATATGAGGTTTTGAATTATGGAATGAGAAATAAAATCATGAAATAGCCAGAAGTCAGAAAGAGATTAAATGCAATGCGAAAATAAATATGAAATTTAATCTGAACTTTGTAACTCAAATTGCAGAAAGGTAACTATAACTTACAGATCATGAGGTGCAGTATGTTCTTCTGAAAAATATGCTTGTGATTTCTTATTCCATTGCTGGATCAGGGTACTTATTTCCGAGACAATTTTCCTGGCCTCTTTGTCTTCTAGCAGCTGAGACATTAAATCAGCCGTGATTCTTTCAAGTTCTGAAAGAAGATTCTGAGAGTGGCTGCTACTGAACCATTGCTCAGATACCTAACAGATTGAAGGCAAACCAGAACACACACTGTTAGAAAATCAAAGCTTACTTATTTAGATAATACACAGACTTCGCATGCTTTTTGTTGGGTTTTTGCTGTGTGCCTTTGTTTCTTCAGTAAAGGGGGAAAAGCCCCATCATTTTGGGTGTCCATTACGCAAACAAATGAAAAAGAAACTTCCATGCTCCCATTGTGTAGCCTAGAAGAAGGTCCATCAAGTCCTAGCAAAGCCCTTAGACTGCTCTCATGTTCTGCACTGTTATCCTTCCTAAGTGTCCAATGGTTATAATAGAATTTTGCTGTAAAATACAATCAGCTCACCAAGGGAATTTCCAGAGGCCAACAGCTGACAGTACTTCCTTATAATAGCAACATCACCTTGCAAACAGCTATAAGCCATGTCTGAAATTATTACCATATGGCTAAAATAGTCATTAGTCTTGGCAACCACATTAAGAGTTGATTTTGACCAGTACAACTTTTATCAAGGGAGAAAATGAAGGCTATATTTTTAAAGAAATTCTAGTACTACAAGTTTCCTGTAGATAATATTGCAAAAATTGCAAGAGAGCAACAGATAACATTTTAAAAAATGTTTTAAAATGAAAGAACAGTAGTGTTTTCCTTAAGGAGCATCTGTCCCTACAGAGACTGCATGCCCCGCTGTTTTGCCAGAGCAGAATTTGAAGATGCTATCCTGGAGATTTACCCTTATTTGCACCTCAACACACTAAAGTCAGTATTGCCTGAGATAGTGGAGGAGAATTAAAAATTAATACTATATTCTACTTCCAGTTTTGCTCAAATATAGGCTCAGGTGAGACAGTAAATTGGTTTTCTTTCTGTCAGAACTCCACTGCAGCATATGTTTCACTATGCTCCCTATTCAATCTCAATCCTGCGTTTGAGTTAGTGAGGAAATCTGATTAAATTAACACATAGTAATAGATTATACTTCTACTGTAACAGTTACTTATAAGAATTATTACTTTAAGTTATTAGTAAAATGAAAAAAGTTCATAGCAACAATATTTAATATCCAACTCAGATCCTTTAATAGAGTCACTGTTGACAACCTACATGCAAAAATTAATAAATTCCTGAAGTCTACCTGTGCATAGAGTCTGAGCTTGCTGACAGCATGGATGAGATACAGTTTAGCCTCTTGAGATGTGGAAATACAGCTTTCTTCATTATTCTCTTTGTTTGCTTCATATCCTGGTACACTGGACAGAGCAGAGCACACAAACTGCTCCACTGTTTCTTCTGTGGGAATCTGGCAGGGAGACAAGAAAAGTATGAGTATGTCAGAGAGCTACCAAGTGTTACCTTTCCTATCAATTTACTTACCTAATGAAAAGGAACATCAAAGCTCATTTAATTCAGCTTAGTGTTCCTGGGTACCCCAAATGGAGAGCTCTGCGAAAAATAACCATGGCCCCTTTACTGTTCCTGTGCATCAGGCAAAAGAATTGTTACAAGGAATTTTCATCCTGTATCTAACCAGTGTTGCAACTTCAACACCTGTGTTGTCTGTGAAATAACTTGACAATTACATAGCATACCTACACTATAATTTTGCACTGGAATGATCACATAGGAGCAACTTCACAAATATAAAAGTTACTAACGTGTAAAACATTCAGTACACTGATGTACACCATCTCAATGATTATATGCAGCAGACAATTTTTAAATTGAAGTTGGCAGATTTCAGCAATGTGATCAAGGGGACTGACCCGTCTCCCGACAGCCTGACTTCTAAATTCGGTGCTGAAAGATTCATTTTTCTATATCATATAAATTTTATGAATGCTTTCTAAAATAATTTAGTACATCTTAAACCTTCCTAATAGTGTCTTTCTGAGGTACTTTCCAGCCTAACCTCTTTCAACTGTGACTAGAAGATGTACTGAAAGTTTTGCAGCTGTATTGACCTCAAACCACCTTGGACATTAGATACAGAACTGAAGTGCTTGGATCAGACATTGTCCAGGCTTCTGTACCTTTCTTCATGCCTTTTGAGGGTCTTCAGAGCCCTAACACAAGCACACAATATGAAGATATTGGCTTAATCTATAAAGCGTTAATGAATGAGCGACCTGGGATTACACAGCCTACCATGGATAGCAGGCTGCTGCCAAATATTTGGTTGAGTTGACCACAGTGGCCATCAGTGATGTCACTAAAAGGCCATTCAAAGGGAGCTTTGTTTATTTTTGTTTATTCATTAATATAACTCACCCATTCATGTAAATCAACAGTTTTTATAATGAGCTGCTAGCAAAAACAACTTCAGACCACCCCTGGTAAAGAGCAAAGAGATTTCTGACAATTACTAGCATGCTCTATTCAAAGCTGGACTTCTGTAGAAATTTAACAGATGTTTCAAGTGTTCTGCAGATCAAACAAGAACAACACAGGAGATCATGTTGATCCAGGAGAAACAGAAAAGCCCTCCCTGAGATGAAATTTTTCCTTCAAAATTTGACACACCACTGAGACACCTCATCAGTCAAGTATATTCATATCAAGACTGCTCAGCTGAGAAGAAAAGGTACATCGGCAGCCATGATATACACAGGCATTCTTTACTCAACAAAGATGAAAAATACTGGCTGTCAAATGAATCCAGGCAACTTCAAATTTAGAATTTATTTTAAAAGTTAACAGAGTAAGACACAAAATTCTCTGCAGGATTAGATAATAAGCCTAGGATGTCACCATACTCAGTGGCAAGTCCAGAAAAGCATAAACTCATTAATATGTACGACTAGATTCCATCAGAACATTTGTGTATAGAAATTCTAGCTGATGCTAGACATATTTATTTTAAAGGGAATTAAGATAGTGTTTTTAGTCTTGTAGCTTCTTCACACCTTCACAGTATCAACTACTTCCTCTGTAATTTCAGTAAAAACTTCAATGGTTCTTCATACAGTTTTATTTCTTACAACCTACAGATTTATTTCAGAACAAGTGATTTGTCAATAAAAGGGATTGTTATCTTGATTGCATCAGAAATAAAGTCATCACTTTATAAGGCAACTTCTATAAGGCAACACAATGCAGAGGGACAATTTAACATCATTATTAAAATCTTTCGATTCAATAATTTGATTCTTCATATGAAAAGCAATCCCTTAGTCATAGGTGTCTTCAAGTAATTAGTCATGCTGTTAGCTAACCACATATAATGGTTCAAATACTTGCTGAATGAAGCTTAAAATGAGATTCAAATTTAAAACTCGGCTGGTAACATTCAACCAAGTTCTTTACTTCTGGTAGAAGTTATGCTTCTGCCTGTTTTTCAAATACACCATTATAGTTTCTGCAAGGCATGAAAAATGCCTTCAGGAATTGTTACCAGGAAATAAAAACAGAGGAAAGAAAAACATTCAATTTTTCAAGTTATTTACCTTTGTTAATTGTGTTGTATAACTTAGAAGTTTCTGAACATGAAGATCATCAAAACCAAACCTGAATTCAAGTTCTTCTCTGACAACATGTGGATTCCACAAAACATCCTCTAGAGAAAGATTATACTGAAAACCTGAAAAAGATAAACTTCTGTTAACATAATTCCTACTCATTGTTCATGCTGTTTTTTGATAAATCAAGCTTCATGAGGTTCACAGGTGATGTTTCCAGCTTCTGGGGAAAGAAAAACAAAAACAAAGAACAAACACAAGCAATTTAACACAAATTTCAATAATTAAAGTCCCAAATTGTATTAGAAGCATGGCAAGGTCAGCTAATCTGATGATATCCACCAGCTCTTGATAGCATCATGAAGAGATGACCCTGCACAGTGACTGAGAGCAGACCCAGCAGTTTGCCATTCTGAACTAGGTGCTCAGACACATGTAACTTGCAAACGTGTGCTTATAAGCTTAAAATGAAGTACCTCTGATAGAGAGGGCACTAGGAGAACACTAGTTGCACTTTATAAACAGGTTTGCATAAAAAGATGCTATTTCTGAACCTGGTGACACAAATCACTAAGGATCACCAAGGATATCACAACTCTGCTGCGGTAAGAGGCATGGAAAAAAAACCAAGTCATTTTGCATTGCTTTCATTTTAGCTCGCTTTGAAGTCCTAGTGAAGACATGGGGCCAATGATATAATGTGTACCCACCTCTCACACAATCTTGTCTAGCCCACAGAGAAGCATGGCACTGCAGAATACCACTGTAATAAGAGCTAGACAGGTAGAACACTAAGGTCTGCTTACTTTGCTATCAGTATACCTGTTAACTGCACTACACGGCAGCTTCTGGTATTAAACTTTCTTCATTCTCTATCTTTCAGATAAATCCTGAACTGCCATAAATATCTGAACGTTTGGTTACAAGCATATTGTAAACTCTAATTCTTTTAGTTTTATAAGCTCGTAACACAATGCAATAAAAACATTTTTATTGAAAGAAGACCCAGCTTTTCTAGCTTCCTAATTTGGAGCTTCCATTGCACATTTGCTTTCATATAGTTTATATTTTTTCAAAGAGAGAAAGTTTTCAAAACATCCTCCCATACATAAGGTTTTGGGTTTGCTTCTCAAAGAACCTGCTACGGGATATGTACCAACCAGCCCACACAGTTGCCATGGCTGAGATGAAAGGAGCAAGTCAAAAATACTTGCCGAACAAAGTCTGCTTTAAGAACAAACAATAGCAGTGACGTGCTCAGACCCAGAGAATTAAAGCCCGCCCTCTGCACAAGGGCTCGAGCAAACACCTTTCTACCACTTCACTCTTGTTTCTGACAGTCAGGGGGAGGGGGATTTAAACCCCCATGATTGGCCTGGATTCACATACAGTGATTGGCCTGGATTTCTATGCAAAGCAAACAGTTGCAACCTGGTATCTTGCTGCGCTTCTCCAGACAGTTTACCAAAGAAACTCGTTCCTAACATTATCTGGAACAGTTGTCCTGGGCCCAGCCTACCTTTTCCAGTTCAACTTAATTCCTGTAATCAGGAAGGAGAGGAGGAAAATTGAGCTTCTCAGCTAAGAATTTATGATACCAAGGAATGAAGAAAGAAGTCAAACAGACATAGCATTTAATGTGCATGTCCAAAGCAAGAACCTATCCTTCTACGAAATGAAAGAGGTTGCTCTTTTCAGCAATTAACTTTTTCTCCAAAACTCACCACTGAATGATCATTATAAGCATGGCACATTAGGTCATAAAAGTTGCCATGGTTTGATGTAGTGTAGTTACTAGCATATAGACAGTAGATAAAGAAATGAGTCAGCACTGGAGCAACGTAGTTGAATAATTAGACTTTTTCATGTTAGGAGCTTAGCAGTAACTGTCTCAGTTAGCAGTATTATATATTCCCAATACACTTACGAGCTACTTTTGAAAAGAGAAAAAAAAAAATCCAAAGCAAATTCGTTACCCTCCAAGCTCCTCTCCTGTACAGATGCAGCAGTTAAATTTAGAGCGATTTTCACCACTTCATGGAAAGTCTGTCCCAGTGGCATCACAGCTAAGTCTTTCAATGATACTAAGATACTGAAAGGTAAATTAAAAAAAAAAAAAAAAAAATCAAGCTCTCCATACACGCAAAACTGAAGGGGTTTGGTGGAAAAAGATGAAGCTCAAGCAGCTGAAAATTAAAATATATAGCTTGAATATATAGCTAAAAAGTGAACTTCTGTTATATTATGTTTTTAAATCAAAATATCACAAGGTGAGATTTTACAGTTAGAGTTTCACCCACTTCTCATTAAGAAAATGAAAGAGATCTATCAGTGTTCTCAGGAACGAGAGACAGAAAAAGAAGGAAATGTGAGTTAAAAATGAGAATCAAAAAAGATTGCTAAAACACCACAGACATCCTCCCAGTCTTCCCTGCAGCAAGACATCAGGATGGATATAGAATGCTTTTATTTCCACTCAATCTGCAGAGAAAAAAAACATTTAAAACAACAGCACAAGTATTCTCACAGTAAATTAGAGCAAATTACAGACTGTGTTAATAAAAATGTTTCTGTTGAATTTCTTACAACTACCAGTTTCAGTCCACCTAGCTGTTAATTTTTACTGATCTTAATGTAGCTGTAATTTACTACTTAAAGTTTACGTTAAACTTTTTAGTTATTTCCTATAATGTATTCCTCTGTTACTTAGCAAATAAAAATCCAGCTTTTTTAGACTGGATCAGCAGCTGCAGAAACGCTTCTTAAATAAGTGAGAATAAACAGTAACACTAATTTACCTGAATAAGTATGTAAAGTGTTGGACCAGGACACATCTCAATCAGATAGTTTACTGTCCCCTCACAGAAAACACAAGACAAGGACAAATACACATATATATTTACATATACATATATATATTTACATATACATATAAATAATACATATATATACATATATACATATACATATAAATATACATATATATATATATACATAAATAATACATATATACACATATATACATATACATATAAATATATATATATATTTATATATTTTTTTTTTTTTTTTTTTTTTTGTAAGCTCTCAGGTTGGCTTATAGTAGTCTCTTTTTATCTAGTGGGCTACTGTCTGCTAAGTACCTCTGAGAGCATAAGAAAGATGGTACAGGGCAAAGAAACAGGAGAAGTTGTAAATTTAGAATCTTCTCTGCTAACTAAATTCTGCCTGAACCAGGACCTCTGTCTAGAAATGTAAGTTAGAAATATGAGGACAGTCACAAGGCAAGCATTGTTTTTTGTGGTTTCATTTCCAAATGCTATTATTTATGGAAAATTCTGTCATTCAAGGGCACCAACACTGTGAAAAAGCCATAAAATAATAAATGAAAATAGAAAAACTTAAGCCAAGTCTCCTGCCATTAATCCCTTGGGGACTGACCCAGCTGGCAGCAAGTACCCACACATCTGCTCACACCCTTCTCCCCACCTCTCACTCTGACCTTCCTATGAGCTCAAGGTAGAAGAAAGCACTGCTGAGATTATACTATCAGGTTAGTGGCTTGACCCAGCACAGCAGACAGTGGTTACTGTTGTCTTTGGCCATTGCTGCTGAAGAAGATAAAAATGATAACCACAAGCTTACGGTCAAGTTTTTGCCTTAGGAGTGCTTAGATTCTGAATGAGTTCACAAACCTTTCAGAAAAAGCCTTCTGCTTTGGGGGTATTGACCTGAGCCCAGCTATCCAGCCTGTCTTCCTACCCCCAGGCAGATTGACACTTCCTGCCAACTTGGTGTCATCTACAAACTTACTGAGGGTGCACTCAATGACCTTATCCCAGTCATCAATAAAGATAATGAAAAGAGCAGGCCCCAGTACTGATCCCTGGATAACACCACATATGACCAGTTGCCAGCAAGATGTGACTCCAATTCACCACCACTCTCTGAGCCCAGACATCCAGCCTGTTCTTTCTCCTTTGCTCCCCAGTTTCAAAAATACCTTATGCTATTATATCCTTCATGCCTTTTTTAATGATAAAAAGACAGTGAGATGTTAGAGGATAAGCAGCAACAGTTGGCATTCAAAGTTTTTAGGCCTCTGCTGCCCAAGGAATAAGGCTGTGGAAGTTTGTGCCCAATCTTGCACAAGCAGATAGATTTGGTGGCTTCCCAAAGCCTTACAAGTCTGTTCACTGAATTCAGTGACAATTTCTTATCACCTATTACAATTACCTACTCTTGCAAATGTATTTGTCACTTCAATGTTTCCTTATTTCAATGAAAATTCCTGCAGCTCCTTTTTGTATTCTTTTGATAGCATAGGTCTCTCTCTGAATCCAGCTGCCCTTTACCTGAGGCAGAAACTATCACATCCAGAATACAGTCCTCTGGGTTTTTTCTTACTGCTTCTTTTCTTGCAGTAGAAACAAGAGTCTTGAGAAATGCAGTGGATATTGTCCAAATGCTAAATATGTATTAAGCTGATTACAATCCAAATTGTGAGATTTTCTTTCATTCATATGTAAATAATCTTTTGAAGAATGCCAAAATACATGGCAAAGTTTAAAGCCATTTTAACATAAACCTCCTTTTTTCCTAGAGAATTATCACTGAGCTGGACAGACATTTAAAAAACAGTTATGAAGTACTCAGAATGGGTGAAAGCACCCACAGTGTCTCTATAAAAGCAACACATGATCAAGAGAAAAATTCACCTTCCTTGCATGTTAAGAATACTGATTAAGTAGCCTGTGAAAAGAACAGGAGTTTCAGGTAAAATATTAAGAGAGTATTTATAAGTACTTACTTTTTAATAACTTCCAGAAACTGTGCTATGGCAGCTAATCCATCCTCTGAATATAAGTTCTTTGATTCAAGGCGAGGGAGAGAATGCAAAAGGTTCCAGAAAGATGGCTGTTTGTACAGGTTTTCTATTTTAGAAATTATTTCTTCTGCTTCATTCAAATCCATCTTCACATGAGGAAAACACATTTACACAACACTTGCATTAGCAGAGAAAACCAGCAGGCATCTGCTACTTCCCCAACCCTGTTGAACTTAAAACTGTTTCAAATATTTTTTTCAAGTATGAAGCGTACCCTCTAACTTCATTAATTCACAATGTCATTTTGTTGATACTTTGAACTAAGAGTAGTTACCTTGCACATGACTTTGTCTGCTCTTGTGGTAAATGGAATTGGGAGAAAATCTGAGTAATCTTTCTGCTTAGACGTGCAAGGAGACACATTATACTCCTCTAAAGAGAAGGGTTGCCTATGATATCTCATACACAAAGAGCTCTTTACCCTGGCAATGAACTTTAAGCCTAAGGATATAGGGCAGCATGCTGCCAGGGACATGCCATCCTCACCTCACAGCTCCTCCCACGGAACTGGGATAGATGTCAAATACTGCTTGGTGAAAATGGCTTTTGAAAGATTAACTGACTGGGGTAAAAGAACACAAAGCACATCTTTTGTAGGACTAAACCATCAGATGGGTTTATCATAGTTATTCATTATCCAGCCCTTATTTATCTAGTTTAATGTTTCAGTCGAGCTCTTCTGCATAATAGTAACATGAGAGACATTCTACTAAAAGATGCTTGCATATGCAAGCCATTAACAATGGTACACTTCTTTCAGATTTTCCCCCTCTATCTTTATGAGGTCTCCTCTGGAGTACTGTGCCCAAATCCTGGGGCCCCCAGCACAAAACGGATGTGGAGCTGTTGGAGAGAGTCCGGACAAAGGCCACGAGTATCAGAGGGCTGGAACACCTTTCCTAAGAAGAAAGGTTGAGGAAGTTGGGCATATTCAGCTTTGAGAAGAGAATACTCCAGGGAGAGTTCATTACAGCCTTCCAGTATTTGAAGGAAACTTACAGGCAACAGTGGGACCGACTTTTTACATGGTCTGATAGTGATAGGACAAGGGAAATGGCTTTAAACTAAAAAAGGGGAGATTTGGATTAGGTGTTAGGAAGCAATTTTTCACTCAAAAGGTGAGGAGGCACTGGCACAGCTGCCCGGGATAGCTGTGGTGCCCCATCCCTTGAGGTGTTCAAGGCCCAGTTGTTCCTGTCCCTGCGCAGCCTAAGCTGGTAGAGGGCAGTCCTGCCCACAGCAGGGGAATTGGAACAAAGTGATCTTCAAGATCCATTCCAACCCAAAACATTCTATTATTCTATGATATGATTAATAAAGTTCCATCCAATCAAGTAGCTTTTGAGCAATTGACAAATATTACTATGAAAATGCTATCTGATTCCTAGTTATGAATCAGAAATGTAGGTTTCATGAAATTGCAAGCTGTAATCAATTAACTATGGAGAAAAATAATTTTACAATATTCTGAAGTGAAACCAGTGTTCTGTGAAAGGTACAAAATTGACAGCAATTGAAATCCACTGCCGTGCCTGCTGAGTCTTCCTTGTTCTGTTGAGATTGCAAAGTGAAAAGACTGCACAGAGCCCAAATTCACTTCACATGCAAATGAGTTCCAGAAGGAGTTATGCTACATTTTAAAATCTTGCCTTCCTTTATTCCCACTTTAGTCTTCATGTTGTATTTATTACATAATAAATCTGAATTCAAAGTAATCTCCAAGAGACCAATCTTCTCAATCTCACTATATTCCTTTTCTAAGGCGTTAGGGTTTTTTGTTTTGTTTTTAAATAATGAGCACACTTTAAGAGTTGCTTCTGAGATGTTTTGTAATATGATTGATTTTATAGAACTACTCAAAGTTTGGAGACAGAGTTTTAAATTGCTCCAAATAAATATCTAGCCTTCAAAAGTTGTGGATTTTGGTTACTAACAACCTAGAGTTGTTTAAATCAGTGCATAAGAAACCACTGAAGCATCCGAGATATTATTTCCTTCAGCAATATAACAGTTTTTTTTAAAGGCAGTTCACTAAAACCTGACAGGATAGAAATTTCTAACAGTTACAGTAAAGACGCTTAAAAAAACAGAACTATTTAGAAATAAAATGTAAAAGTACTTACAGTAAGAAAAGTGGTGTTGTTATGAAGCCCTGTAAAATCAGATATTTTTCCTTTACAAAGAGGCATTATTAACTTCAGAAGATTCATTTTATAAGTAATAGCAAATAGTAAACAAGGTATACTTCTAAAGGAGAAAACAGGTGTGAAACAAGTAATTCTGTAGAAAGTTAGCAAGCCACCAGTTTTCTATGCTTTCCAATATTTTTACAATTATTACAGAAACAAAAGAAATGCATTACCATTCTCTTTTCAGTAAGACAAAATCATCACATCAATACTAGGTGAGTGTATTAGCCCCCACAGAGCCAAGTATGAAATCAACTGCTTCACCTTAATCTTTCTTCTCGAAATCTCAGCCACCTGCTACACAGCAAGACCGAGCAGTATGAGTGGGAACAGAGTGGGGAAAGTCAGAACATGGTGTTTCCAATCATGCCCTTTTAGTTCAAGACTGATTTGTTCACCTAAAGGTTACAAGGTGCAAGGAAATGAGTTTCCTATCCTTCTACTCTCTATTAAAACAGATATAACTGGGAAGACAGGCTAGGTTGTTACCCAAACCAGCAGATCTTTCTGGCTAAACCCTGATAGTTTCTCTTGAATGCGTTCTAGACTAAGTATCCATATACTCCAATTAATAATGATTATCTTTAAACCTTCACCACAGAATATTTTCTTAACAATCAATAAAAACAAGAGTACAGTTCCAGAAAGCTGAGATTTTAGAATAGCCACAGTAATAATAATCACTAAAGTGGCTTTTATTTTTGTATTAGCTAAATTTGACTTTGCTAATTTTATTTAAAATAGAAATATTCCTTTGTCTGATGGGTATCATTATAGACAAAGCAATTCATTATTAGAAAAATCAAGCTTACCTGAGAACTTAGAGCTTTCTTCCCACAGTTTTTCTAAAGCCATGGTTTTCTCTGTGGTTTCAGTAAATCCCTTTGCAAGTTCTTGTATCTCTTTCATAAATGCTAAGTCAGGTCCTGCAAAACTTTCTGAACCACTTTCAACACCTGAAGTACTTTTCCACAGAAAAACAAGAGGACAAGATAGGTAATTACAACCTGGAAGCTAGTCATTGAGAAAAACGTTGCCTTATAGCAGCATTCTAATTGCTCGTTTTTGTTTTCAGAACTATTATACACTTAGTTGGTTTTTATTTTGTTCATTTCATTAGTGTGCAAGTTTCACAACTGAGTCAAAACCTCAGGAAAGAGAGCACTGTAAATTTGCTGAGCTGAAGCAGCTCACCTGCTCAAGTAGTACAAATCTGACAGCAGATGAACACATACAGTGAAGTCAGATTTGTTCCCTTGCGCATCAAGATTCCAGTTGATGATGATTCTTTCACAGCCTGTACCCTGAAGTTCACATGTTCCAATTTCATGTAAGCCAATACACTGCAACCAGTGTCCAGCACAGGGGAGACATCATCAGACAGAACGGGGATAAGGCCCTGACAAAAGGTGCTTCCCTTTTAGTTTACTAGGCAAAAGAATTGTCCTAACAATTACATCATGTTAACAAAAAAAGCAACACCACCAACACCTGCACACTGATTCCAGGTGACACACTCCTCAAGGTACCTTTCTAATTGAAAAGTGAGAAGAATTGTGTCACTGGCTAAATATCTTTCCTTATGCTGACATACATTCTGAAAGTGTCTGTTAAGAAAACCTGTACCACTTGTACATGAGATTATGTATTTTTTTTTCTAGATACATGCAATAACTTACAAAAACGTCAAAAAAATTCCTAAAAAGATATTGCCCGTACCAGCTTTCCTTCGGTTTTAATTTACAGCTAAACTCCCTCCAATGCTACCATCTAGTGGCTTTTCAGTAACACAACAGTTCTAGAATAATACTTCCACTGTGAAATAAGTTCAACGATTTTTTACACACCTCTACAGGCCAGCATTACTTAGACTACCCCAAGGCACCATCAGCAATGGAACAGTTATCTTTAACATGTTGCCAGGCATTATAATTTATCTTATAGAAAGTTCAAACAATATAAGGGTGAAGTAAAGTAGCAAAAACAATGTGAATTTTCATTAGAAGAATAATTAACTGATTCATAAGCACTACTAAACAGTAGAATATTTATATAAATAGTCACATTCCTTTCTTGTTAGACTTGAACATGAATGTTAGTTTTCAGCATGATTGCTATCAATTGGTAAAGAAAGATCTAAGGAAAAAAAAGATCCACAAACTAATTCACTTGATTCAGTTTATCCTGTCTTATTTCTTCCAGTTGATTCCTATAAATATCACCATGAACATCACAGAGCAGAACTTCATTGCAGCAAGTTTATGAACAAGCATCCCAAAAGGAACACATCCTGGTTAGACAAACAGTTCCTTCGCAATTATTGTCAATTCTCTAGGTGCAAAATTTTCCAGTCAGCATTTTTTTGACGTGCCATACAAACTTTCAGCAGTGGTGGTATCTCAACTCATATAAGGCCACAGAAATCTTATGGGTACTTCAGCTAGAGAGGAAAAGAAAATGCATGAAAGAAGTCATGGCAGAATCCTAAGCTTGACTTAAGCTGTACACGAAGGCATGGAAAGTGAAATTCAGTGTTGAAACTCAAGGAACCTAATCACAAAGTTTGGGTTATTTTTAAACTGAATTGCTGTGAAGAAAATGTACATAGCCTACATACAAAGTCAGAGCATTAAGCTCCTGATTCTGCTAGAAAAAGGAAATTACTAAGGACCCAAAGTCCCAAGAGGCAGATAACTTGAGATCATTCACATATACATGGTGTTTACGTCCTTTTAAAAAATGAAAATAATTTTATTCTTTATCAGGTTATAGTTAAGAATAAATATTATGCACTGTCAGAACTACTTAATTAGAATAATTTTTATTTCACCTATGATCCTTTGTTGAATCCATATTACTGTTTTCCTCCCAATTATTTAAATAAGATACTAAGAGTCATAAAATAAAAACAATAATGCATATAACTGGATCAGATATGTTCAAAAGTTCTGCTAAAATGCAGCCACCGAATAGCATGCAGATGAAGAAGCACCTTTCTCTTGCACTCCCTCCATAATCTTTATTTGTTCAGAGTTTCCTGCAACTTTAGATTACAGGTTGATGAGAAAATTTAAGCTAAGAACTACCAACAAGTTCTTTATTGTTTCAGAGCAGTTTATTTTGCTCCCAATTTAGCTGCCAGCCAAGAGGATTTTATAAAAATCTTTCACCAACTTCAAACTTTCACAGATTATCCCAGCATCCTGCATCTCTCTGTCCAAAACAGCATATGAGAAACAGAAAATAGCTTTCCACATGACTTTGACCATAAGCTTGACTTGGCTTACTATGTGCCTATTTCAAAATAAATGAGGCCCAGAGTTGTCTATTAACTTCTTGCAAATCACCCACCCACTTTTCTCTTTGACTTGATGCTTGATTTCATGTACTCCCCATACAACCTCCCTGCTTTTCTCAATGTGTGTTGTCCAGAGAAAGTCCCTGATATGGCACAAGCAAAATGTGATCTCAGCACACAGAGCTGTAAGATGATAGCTCAGTCATCCACACCAGTATCAGAATCAAGTCTACCCCTGGGCCTTATTAGATTTAATTTCAAGTTTTTGCAAGTTTAGCAAGTATTTCTTTTGGAAGTTATCAGGTCTTGATATTTATGCTACCAACTACAGCTGTTTAAACACTATATGCAAGGAGGTTGGAACTGAAAGTCTCCAGAGGTCCCTTCCAACCCCTACAATTCTGTAATTCTGTGAATTTAATTAAATTCATCAACATTCTTAGAAATAGCAGTCTTGAGTCTTAGTTTTTAATCATCTTAAGTATTTCAAGTGCAGGAAAATCTAAACTTATTTTCTTTGTAGCATTGAAAAGACTAACAAACATAGATCCAGGAGTCTGAGTTGGGATTCGACCTTGCAACTCATTCTGCAAGACCTGCAATGGAATTAAAAGCATCAAGAATATATTATGTCTACATGCACATACATACTTATTTTTGCATGGGAGCGTAAAACTACTGAAGGACACTGTGCTGGATGGTTTTTACATGATTTGCATGCTCTCAGTTTTACTCTGTGCTCCAGTAAGATAGACGAGTGTGAAAAACATGGGAAAGAGAAGGCAAAAACACCTGTTGCTTTGGGAGCTCCTACATGCACTCGAATGCTAAGGAGGTCAGAGATAATGCTGTTTGATGGACTAGGGAATCACATCAAATTTCTGCAAGCAAGAACCTGTTGTAGTGACTGAAAAAAAGGAGTAAGAAACAAAACCTTTGGCTAGTTTGGGTCAGCTGTCCTGGCTGTGTTCCTCCCCAGTTCCTTGTGCCCCTCCACCTCCAAGCTGACAGGGCAGCATGAGGAACAGAAAAGTCTTTGACTCTATGTAAGCACTGCTCTGCAACAACTGAAAACAGTAACATTATCATTGCTATTGCCAAGTTAAAAAAAAAAAAAAGAAGAAGAAGAAGAAAAGGCACAGCATCATATGACCCTCTATAAAGAAAATTAACTCTATACCAGCCAAAACCATGGCAAAGGCAGGGGCAGATATTGCTGAAAAGTTAGTTAATCCTGGCCTTCACCTGACTCATCTGCTCACCAAAAGTCTGTTGATGGAGTCTGTTAGACTGGACAGCTATTTGGGTGTTTATGGTTTTCATAAAGGAAGGTTCCAATAAAAGTCACAGGATTTTTTTATTTTTTTTTTATTTTTTTTTTCCCCAAAAAACAGCTATATTTTAAACTGTCAGCATCAATGCAGTATGCATTGTGAAATGTATCACATGTCCATGCAAACTAGAGTCCTTGATTTGCCTTTAACAAACACATTGTTCATGAGAAGCATTCCTGAAAAGGACCATAAAAAACCATAGCTGGTTCGACATAAATCCTCAAAGGGAAAATATTTAATATTATTATTCCTATGTCACCCTGTCTCTCAACACAGGGACATTGTAGAGTTCAGTGGTATTTGGCTGACCAAGCTGACAACCAGGATTCCTAAGGCTGGCAGACAGCATAAGCCAAAGCAACATTTAGGCTGATTTAATTTATGCTGATGAACCTGCTGTAATAGACTGACCTCAGGATGAACCTAATATTACTTTTTACCCTTTTCCTGACATAGGTTGTGATATTCAGCATAGCCTTCGGAGGATAGAAATCTACATACATAGAAGAATTTATTTTTCAATTAAAAAAGAAAAAAGCAACTGAATAATTTCCTTCATTTTTAACTAGGTCTAAGACTGCCTCCAGGAAATTCCTTCCTGATTTTCTTCTGAGCTGAAATATAATTTGGGCAGTTCAGTCAAAGTAGTGTAAATAATCACGCAAGGCAGTTGATATAATTCATTGGTCCTAGGGGCTTAACACACTTAAAATAGCAACTGGAGTGGTGATGTAAATAAAAACTATCCATTTAGGAAATTTTTTTTTTTAAAGACTAAGAGCTATTTTGACACCATAGCCCAATAATTTGATATTACTACTGCAAGTAACAAGCTTCACAGAGTTTGCAAGACCACAGCATAGAGGTTTGTTACCTTCTCTTTGTCTAAACCTGAGATGTGCCTCAGTTTTGTTTTTTTTTTCTGGGCAAATGGTTACGGTTTTTTATTTTACTTTCACACATCACTGTAAAATACTACTATAGTTTTACACCTATAGGCTTAAAATGTGATCATTCAAAGCAGAATAAGATACTTATGACTAACACAGCACAGTATCATGACAATATCAAGAAAAAAATAACATGTAGGCCTTCCTACAGTTTACTTTTTCACATTATTTTATTTACAGAGGTTCTGCTACTCCTTTTTGGCTCTTTGTAGAACTTACTTAAGAGCTGTCTTTGTTTTACTTTTCTGTATGCATACTTCCCACCATATATGATCTCAAAGTATAAATCCATGTACGGTATATTTTTTTTTTGGCCAGTCTCACCTTCACAGAACAATAGTCTTTCCTGTTAAGCATAGAAGTATGCTCTTGTGCGCAACAGTGAAGTGCAAGAAAGCACAAAATTTGTCCATGAAGGACAAAGAAAATTAGAAAGAGACATAAAACAAAGCCTTGTGACTTCTGCACTCATAATGATACTAAAAGAAACTTTATGTGGTCACAAAATCCCTGTTCTTCCTATCTACAAGACAAAAATATTTGCTGTAAAAAGACCTACCGTGACTCTTATAGCACTGTATAGACTTGTACATCTTACCGTAAGCGGTTGTATTTCTGTGTTGAGTAACTGGTATTCCTGCATCTTGAGCCAACATTACAGAAAAGAGACCGCACGAAAGGATAAAGGCCCCCACTTGGCAAATCCCGAGCTTCTAAATAACCTAAAAATCAAGCAGCAACAGAATTAAAACCAGCAATGCTGCAGTTATAAAACTTGTACCATAACATTATGCACCCTTCTCCTAGAAAGCTGCTCTGTCACCTGCAAATGATGATGTTGCATTAGTGTCAAGTGTTCCTTCTAAGCACAACTAATTCACCACAGAAAACAGATAACTCCCACATCAGACTATGGCAACGTAATGGCAGAGCACTTTCTGAAGAGCTCACTTTCATGGCAGTAATGCCACTGCTACACCAAAACCTTGCTAGACAGTCAGTCCAAAATGTCTTGCAAGCTAGATCAGAACATATAATTACTCATTAAATATTATTTCCTCTTTTCTTTGAGGCTTTCACGAGGTGAAGGAACTAGTGTTGTTATATGTGAACTTACATTCAACATTGATTAAAGTGAAGTTTCTTTGTATTCTGAGAATTTAAACCTCAAAATGACAGGTTTTGTTCTTTTTTGTTTTTGCTTTTGCAACATAAGGGACAGCTATAGGGTTCCTATTTAACTTAATCTCTCAATTAAAAATAGCTAAAACTAAAAGCATCATTGAAAGATCATTCTGCTTTCCTCAACATAACTTTCTTTTGACAATCAATATATCAAATTAAGGAGTAAATATCTGTAACTAGTCTGATAGATGGTACCTTAAACTCTGTATTTTTTCCCCCATCTAAAATAACTTACTCAGGGCCACAGCTGGATAAGATCTAATCACACCCTAGGTTTCTATCTCTTGTCTCCACAACATATAAGTCACCCCTCCTGGTTTATCTTCAGTATTTCCTGAATGCTTCTTAAAAGAGAGTCCAGAGGAAAAACAGCACAAGTGAAACAAAACATACAGTTTTCCTTGTGTTTCGGGGGCTCTTGGAAGCGGATTGCAGCCAAAATCAGGAAGAGCATGCATGGCCAGAGTATTTCAGAGAGGAACAAGACCTGAAAAAGGAAACGAAAACAATATTAGTGCTACAGAGAGAGAAAAGAAAAAAAAAAAAAGAATTTGGTAGCAAATAACTTAAGTCTGAATACCTTTTAATCAAAAAAAAAAATCTCATCTACAAATGCTTACAGCAAAATAAAAGAACAAAATAGCAATTTACGGTTTATTTCAAACTCCTTATAAATTTACCAAATACGTACAAAAGCAGTTTTCAGCTCTTCTGCTGATAATGTTACGTAATACCCTCTGGTCAATACAAAATAAGCCTGACACTACAGAATTACAGCTTTCTTACAGCTGGTCCTCTTCAGAACCCTCTGTTGCAATTCATCGTGATGAAGTTCTTCATGCTCCCCTGTTGCCTGCTGCCCTGAACCTTGACTGGCATATCCCCTCATCCTCCTCAGCTGATGCAGTGTATCATTGCTTTCAGCTGCAGTCATCACTCTCTAAAAGTTGCCTTCATCACCCCAGCAGTAAGGCACTTTGAAGACTAGCTAATAGGCCTCAGGCTACCCATGGCCACCTCTAATTTCCCCACCTTCCCATTCCCAGGGCCACAATGGAAACATATCCAAGCTGGTACAGTGTGAGATGTATAGAAACAAAGCATATTTCATATGAGCAAAAAGCATCTGCTTCCATCTCCAGGGAGAGGACGCAGCTCTCGCTACAAAGATTCCATGAAGGAAAAGAAGCAAACAGAGACTCCACAGGTGCCTCAATTTCCAGCTGAAAAAAGAAAAAAAGACAGAACCTGACCTTTGGCAAAATTACGAAAAGAAATCAGTGCTATGAAGGCAGTGAAGGTGGGAACAATAAGGGAGTTAGGGAAGTGTGAAGATCAATCTTGAAAACAAGAATGCAGTAGAAAAGGCACATTAAGTATCTCCCATTAGAGATACTGAAGGAGGCTTTTAGCTTCTCTGAAAATTATTGAGTATTTTTACTTCAAAACATAGCTTAGTTGTTGATCAAAATTCACTGAGAAAGCAATTTCTAAGCCTAGGTGTGTTACAAAAACAGCTGGGAAAAGTACATAAAAAAACCCAGAAGCAGAATCAGACCTGTGAAAAAGGCCAGCTAAACTCATTTAAAATCAGGTAGGAGCAAGCCACAGAACACCAGGCTAGGTACTTTTACATTTTTGGGTAATAATGAAGGACAAAACTTGGCTGGACAAGAAGCCATCCCTGAGGGTCCCATGAGGTGAACAGGACAATCCCAAAAACTACCAGCTTCAACCAGAAGTTCAGATCACATCATAGTGATGAAGCAGATTAGAAAAAAGTCAGAAATAGAACTTGCAGATCAATGTAAAGTCCAATGAGAGTAACCAGAATCAATCACTATCTTATGCTACCTGGACAAAACCATGACCAGGCATGGTGGAGCCAGACTGAGCTAAATAGACCAGGCTGGGGGAGTGGCTGGAGGTCCCAGGTGAGGCTGGTTAAGCTGATTAAGACCAATCTTTGCTCCTAGAGTCCTTGATTCCTTTGTTTGACTGGAAACTTTTGGTGCATTTATGTACTTGTAACATCCTTCAAAAAGGGCAGAGGTTTTTTCTTTCATTGTCTTTTTTTGCTTTCAGTTATCTTTCTGTAAGCAGTAGCAGCTATGTGGAACTGTGAATCGTAGAATTGTTTGGATTGGAAGGGACCTTGAAGATTATTCAGTTCCAGCTTCCTACCACGGGCAGGGCTGCTTCCCACCTACTCAGGCTGATACCCACCATCTCAGGCTGCCCAGGGCCTCATCCAACCTAGCTTTGAGCCTCTGCTGCTGGCAGTATGTATCTCCTTAGCTTCTAAAATATATAGTTTAAAATTTCATCCTTAGTGATCCACCTCGCATACTCTTGAGTATATGCAGATAAGGCACATTCATGGCTCGATATTCATGCAGTGAGCATATAAGGAGATTTTCAAAAATTTCTCAGGGCAGTTCTGGCTCTAGACATGTAGAATTAAGTTTGATTCGGGTCATTCATTATAGTTCCTGGCTTGGGGAATTTTGCATCTCACTAAGTTCTCTATTCAGGAAACGAACCGTTAAGGAAAGCTTAAAATTTTAAAGAATTAAAACTTTTTCCTCCAAAAAATATATTAGGCAAAGCAGGATGAGAGAATGATCAGCATGGAGGACAGCAGGAGGTATTAAGCCATTTAAGACACATAGGTTGAATTATGAGGAACTGGAAGCATTCAGAAGTGTTTGGGAGTGATGAAGAATATAACAAACAGTATCCCTTCCAAAAATATAACAATATTTTTTAAATATACCACCTGAAATCATATGAAAATGAAATTCTCTCTTAAATCACAGCTTATGTAAAATATTTCTGAAATGGAAAGCTCTATTTTATTTAATTGAAGTAATCAAATCTGAAGTAGCCATCATGCCTCACTGCAAATCCCTAGATTGACACAGACAAGGGAAATCAGTGAGAAACTAGTAACTGTAGTGACATCTTTTTCCTGCAAAAATGTTATTTCACTTGACAGAATTCTCTCCTTTCTGTCTTAAAATAATTAAAATTTGGTGCTAATTACACATGCATTACACCAATCACTGGTATCACCAATGATTACTTCTAATGTGAAGGAAATTGATTTTAATCCTTGTTACTGCTACAGGCACTGGTAGTATCTAATGATAATTAGAAGATTATCTGTGGCTCTTCAAAAACTTTTGTGAGATTTTCTATCTTAATTTCAAACTGTGAAGCATTACTGACTTCAGCCATTTTAGAATTAAATCACACTACTGTTCTATATTTGTATTTCCAACAACAAGGAGACAAAAAGCAAAACAAGAACCACTAGCAGTCAGCCAATCCTTTAACAGTGTGCAATGAGAAGGGAAAAAAAAGACAGACTGACAGATACACTATTTCCAGCAGAGAGCTCAGAATACACTCTTCCTAGCAAAATAAGGTTTGAAATATTTATTTTATTTTATCATTTCCAAAAACTCACCGGTTGCCTCACACGGCAGAGCCAATTCTTCCAAAACAGTGCCTTGAACTGGCGTACTGCGTGCCCCATTATCCTCTTTTCTTCATCTACTTGGAGAATGGCTTCTTCAGGACTTTCTAGCCAAGGATCATCTCACCAAGCAGTCTGAACATACTGTTCAGTAGCTGAGTGATTCCAGCAGTGAGGAAAGGTGCAAGAGATTTGCTTGCTTGTTGAGAACAAATGATATTATGTTTCTGCCTCTTGTTTTGCTTTCATGGAGGAATCTCATCTTTCCTCTTGCTTCTCAGTGCAATGAACAGTGAGGGGATGGGTTTATATGAATGCCTTCAGGGTGCTTTACTCTCCCGCTCATATTCCGCTCTTGTTTTTATTTTTCTGCCACAAAAAATCAATGCAAATAACAGGAAAAAAAAAAAAAAATGGACTGCATGTTAAACACTTTTGTCTTTTTCCAGAGTTCAGTGACTTTTTGTATCTGCAGTACTAACGTCATTTCATATGCAGATTTGTAGCCTTTTGAAAAAAAAAGAAGTGAGAAAGTAAGTATGCTATTTAGCCTTATAAGGACGCATCTAACACTGTGGTGATCCCATCACATCATCTTATGTATATAATGTATATGTAATATATACATACGTATATGTAATTTTATCTTACAGTGGGTGTTTTTTTTGACATTTATTTTTTCTTTTTCGCTAAACACTACCTGTGGAAAAACTGTATATTCTGGACAGAATCACACATACGAACTAAAACAGTGCTATGCATGAACAAGCATTCTTTATCTTTTTCTACTGCTGAATAAATTGGATCATTACACTTTCTGCAAATTGTATACAAGTGAATGAAAGAGGCATCTTAACATGCATGGCTGTTTTTCTTCTTAGAGTGTAAAATCCTCAAACACTTAAAAACCTTTTAGGTACAGAAGACTTTGGTGAGGAGTCTGACTTCCTCAAGATTTAAGCTAAGAAGGCAATCAAAAAAAATTAAGAAGTCTGATATTTCTGCATTAAACAACTGTTCATCACAGAATCATAGAATCATAGAATGCTCTGGGTTGAAAAGAACCTCAATGATCATCAAGTTTCAACCCCCTGCTATGTGCAGGGTCTCCAACCACCAGACCAGGCTGCCCAGAGCCACATCCAGCCTGGCCTTGAATGCCTCCAGAGATGGGGCATCCACAACCTCCTTGGGCAACTTGTTCCAGAGTGTCACCACACTCTGTGTGAGGGGTATTCTGTATACAGTCCAAATATGCATTTTTACAAATTTATTTGTCAATACTTGAATGCTATGAATATGTGTATGGGCTCACGCAGAAATTTTGGAAGGCTGGAGGCCAGAATCTATATTGAATGTTTTGTAGGAAATGATAAACTAATCATTCAGTATAATGAATTTCAAACAGTTATTATCAAAGTAACTGATATGGTTCTCAACAGTATGCAAACCATCTGCCAAATTATTCTGAACAAGTAATTCTGCAAAATCTCTGCTCATCTGACCGTATGATGTACATAATTTGATATGCTCTATATAATTACATGCTCATAAACGCATTCCGATTTTTAATGCTAAACCGCTCTTTGTGAATATAGAAAACAACTGGTTTGTATGCAATTAATTTTCAGCACTAATTAGTAACCAACTCCTCATTTTACTATATAAGACACACAGCAGTAAACAACTTTCACTGGTGAGATCACAGAATCACAGAGTGATAGGGATTGGAAGGGAGCTCTGAAGACCATCTAGTCCACACCCCTGCTAAAGCAGGTTCCCTGTAGTGGGCTGCCCAGGAAAATATCCAGGTGGGCTTTGAAAATCCTCACAGAAGGAGACTTTGCACCCTGTCTGGGCAGCCTTGTCCACTGCTCTGATACCCCCACAGTAAAAAAGTTCTTCCTCAATATTAAATTCATTTGCCCTCGAGTATCATCATCCCTTCCTAAAGAAATTCACTCCTGCCCATAAGGTGTTCTCCAGTAGCACGCTTCTTTTTCTAGAACAAAACAGATGAAAGCCAAAGATAACATCATAAACATTCATCCAAGAACAATCCCTGTGGGGCAATTCTGGGAAATTACCTCTAAGACAGGCTTCATTGTATTATTTGCAGTGTTCTAGAAAGATGAGAAATATGAGATCAACCCTTCCTGACAAACACTTGGCACCAAAGAAATGATTATTAAAAATTAAGCAGGCATGCAGATCAGTTCTAAATAGTTTCTGAAAACACATCAGCTGTTTTGCTGCCAACCTGGATGTTCTTGAGTGGTCTATGTTTCATCAGCACAGTGTCAGGGAGTCTTGAATATTACAGAGCAAATTAGAAGGTAATATATTTTACTATGTGCTCCACTCATTCTTTCTGGAATAGGAAATATATATGTATGCTCAGAATCAGCTGGCCAGGGTGGGACAAAATAGAGCAATGCATGCTCTCTGATTTCCGCTCAGCTTGAGCAGGCTGTCACAGTGCTGAATTGGACATTTTTTGTTTAATTGCACAGGATATCTGGAACCACAGGGGCAGAAAAGGCAGCAAACTCTCCATCAGCATTCACCCTCAGCTTCAAAACCTGACTGCTTTATGGCACCACCAACTCTCCATGTCTGTCCTACAGCTTTAGTGCATTCTAATTACAGCTCAGCTGGCAAAAACATTCAAAGAAACTTTGTTTTGTATGTTAAGTATATTACAGGCCAGGAGCTACGCGTACTGGTTGGTAGACAGGAACACAGTCTAATTGTGTGAGAGCATGGCTGAGAATCAGGCAGACTGGCCTGTTTTCCTACCACCACCCACAACTCATCTCACAAGGCTCACTGTGTGATCACAGATTTGAACCAGTGAGGAGTGCAGCTCGTGAATATTGACACAGAATAGCCCTTCAGCACAGACAAAGCAGAACGACAACGATTCAACACAATTCAATTAGTCTTCCTGGGAGATGCTTCCCATGGGCTAAGTCAGGAGACAACTAAAAACGTTGGTTGCAGGCAGGGTCCGGTAAAAGATTTGATTAAAACAGAGCCGTGCAGTGAACAGACAACAGCCCGAACTCGGCAAGCAGGGCTGCTGGTGGGGCTGCGCTTCTGGGCAGCAATAGGGAGTGTTTTCTTGTAATGGACAAACTGGTGGAAAACTACAGGAAATTTTCTCACAGTTACAAGCTGATGAGAAGCATCTGGAATCAGGTTTCTGTGTCGTGTAAAACCGGCTTTGTCTGTCTTTTCCCACTCCAGCATTTTCCTGCAGCCTACACAGAAGCATTGCCCCTGTCAGCGCAACTCCTGCTATTACAGTGGCAGAATTTCAGATTTAGTGCTGTTTCTCTCAGTAACCTGTCTTCTCTCCCTTATACAGCAGGCAGAGGACTTTTTTTAACTGTAATTTAATTCATACTCTGGATTAAAATACAATGTGGCAACTATTTTAGAAAAAGAAACTATGTATTTGAGTCACTCCAACTTAATGACTGAATAACTTTCTGGGAAATGAAAACTTGATATCTCACATAAAGCAACTGTAATATTATCACTGCTGTGCTTTCCTGCAGCCACTCATTGCACACAGGCCTGATCTCAAACTTCAGCTGTTCCCTGCACCAGGAAGGGAGTGCTGACGGGCACATCCACATGCTCTGTCTTTGGCTTCTTTCCCCCAGCTTGCCAGTGGAAATGAAACACATCTCCTATTCGAGGATATTAACCGCAGTACTTTATACATTTTATTTCAAAATATTCTCAGATCCAGGAGGACTTGAGATGGAAATCCAGCTCTGCTGCACAGCACAATGAAAGTCCCTTGAAAGGACACAAGAAGAATCTTTAAAAAGATGTTATGTATTAAATGTGTGTAATTATGCTTCCAGGAAATCCCCAAAATACCCTCTAATAGGAATTATGTTATTTGTTTTAAAGACATAAAAACATTTATACTGCAAGCATTTTTGGAAATTGGTCATTCCATCACACTTCCCTTTAGGGTTTCTCATAACTTCCACCAAAGAAAAACATCAAGATGCAAGAAATAAAAATTAACTTCCTCAAGTGAACTCAACTTCATCAAGTTACTGCCCGCTCTCGGTCTCTTTCAAATTTGCAACAGATGTGTTTTAACCTATCTTACATTGTGCTCTCAACCATTTCTTTCACAGAAAGATTAGATCAAGCCAGAACGCTAGGAATCATTGGTAGAAAAATTGTTTTCTCGTCATTCTTCCATGCTCATCACATCTGCCTTCCCCCTTTGTTGTTATCCCTTCTGATGTCTGGAATAAACTGTTTCTGTAGCGTATTGTTAAGTATATGCTGACTAGACAGCACAAGTGGAACTTTGGTTGCTTTTGGTAATGGACCTCTGTAAAATCTACCGGAAAGTAGCTTCACTGCCGGATGCACGCACAGCTGATTCATGTCTTTATCTTTCTGTCCATACACAGTCACAAGGTCTAATTCAATTGTTCTTATCAGGTAACTTACTGGCAAGTTTCCTCTATAGCCAAGAGATTTTTTGGCACGTAGGATGCGTTTATATAGCACCCTCTTGTATTAGGAATTAAGTATTGCAGGATGTTGACAGTGGAAAAAAACCAGCGTATTTGGTCTCCTTTGATTTCTAATTTTTTTTTATGATGATATAATCCTTTATATCACTTTTTGGAAAGAAGAAAATTATTTTAAGAGGAAGAAAAATATGATGCCCTAAGGAACGGAGGGAAGGAGAAGTACATGGCTGAAGTTTTCTAGGAGTTCTTTCTTCCAAGCCCACACCATTCGACTCTGCGTAGGCACCACTGCTTCAGCCTAGAGTACAGCATGTTTCTTCTTAAAGCACTCATCTTATTTCCTTCCTACTGTTCTGGGAATTGGAGGTTAAAGAGCAAGGCTGCTCTTTGTCACATATCTCACTTCCTGCAAAGCACAGGCAAGCACTAGGCAGAGCTACACAATTATTTTTTTAAGAGAGAAACAGTTCTAACAAAATGTGGAGATTCCGTTTCACCCAAAACACTTCCTGAACTTAGAGGAGGAAAAAAAAAAAAAACATTTTCTGAAAAGCTTACCTTCATTGCTTATCCTGAACATAAAACAAGAAAGTGAATTTTTAGAATAAGGAGAATAAATAAATCAAAGGTATTTAAAGCATGTTCAAATTAAAAAGAAAACAATGACAACACCGTTTTTACCTTTTCCACTATCCATTCCCAATATGTTCCCAGTTAAAAAGTTATAAAAAGTAAGGACATTAGTCATTGTTTGCAGTTTCCAATTTGCAATAGACCTCCCTTCCATTTTTGATGAATTGATCAAATTCTTCCAGTTTTTGTCTCAGTGAACATGCCTACTGCTGCATCACTCCCTTTCTGATCTAACTTTCGTGCTCTCAGAGGGTTGTAGACTATTGTCACCAAAATAAAACCTACATTAGCTAAATATATAGAATCATAAGATCATAGAATCATAGAATGGTCTGGGTTGAAAAGGACCACAATGATCATCCAGTTTCATCCCCCTGCTATGTGCAGGGTCTCCAACCACCAGACCAGGCTGCCCAGAGCCACATCCAGCCTGGCCTTGAATGCCTCCAGAGATGGGGCATCCACAACCTCCTTGGGCAACCTGTTCCAGTGCGTCACCACCCTCTGTGCGAAAAACTTCCTCCTAATAGCTAACTTAAACTTCCCCTGTCTCAATTTAAAACCATTCCTATCACATCCCCCCCATGTAAACAGCCGTTCCCCCTCCTGTTTATATGCTCCCTTGAACTCTTTCTTCAAAGTTGTTTTTAACTTTCCGTTATGGTACCTGTTGGCTATCGGTTCCACGCTGATATTAGGGACAACTGTTCTGAGTTGAGTCTCTTGACCTGTGACCCTACTAGAATGGGGCTATTCATGGCAGTAGAGAGAGAGAGAGAAACACACTGTTCTTTATTTGATCACATACTTCAACTGCAGCAGCAAAGAAATGACTACGATTTTAAAAATAAAAATGAAAAACAAAAACTACCTGCACTAAAACAAACTAGGCTAATGACAGCAGAAAAAATTTGCAGACATTTTCGGTGGCACGTGCAGTCAATAGTTATTCTCCAGTTTTTCAGAACTGGAAACAACTGCAAGAGCGAGTGTCAAGTGTTAATGAAAAAAATTTAAAAAGAAACGAAGTGGGAGGAAGAAAATGAACCGCATCATGCAGTCCTGTGAAGATGTTGTGCATCTCCTGAATGCCTCTAACTTTGCCTTCAGGCTGCAGGAGCAACAATTCAACAAAAGATTTTGTGTTCTTCCATGCAAAATGACTACAGTAAAAATGTTCCATGGGTATTCACCCAACAGTGTAGTTTAAATGAGATACAAATGATGTTGTTGGATCGGTATCTAGCAAGTACAGATATTCAACAGCTCAGTGTCAAATCCGTAAGTCTGAGGAAATCCAGTCTCACACTTTGCAATTCACTGAAATATCACCATATGAAAACAATACTGTTTATTTCTCAATGTCTGGAAAAAACGAAGTGCATTCACTCTTAGTTTTCTTTACAAAGTGAAACAACAAAGGCAGCTGTTATAATTTATATAACTTTATATATTTTTTAAAAAACAACAAGGAAGGTATTAACATTCTTAAATTAATTTTAATTTGGTGGTTTGCAAGTACTTTCCAAGAAAGTACTTTGTTTTCTTCTTACTTTTTCTTTAGCAGCAGGGATAAATGAAGCTTTTTCATATGTCACAGCAAGCTTCTCCTTCACAACAGATCCACTTTTCACTCAGAAAAGGGAATCTTAAATCCCAGCAACAATAACTAATCTTAACTGAAGCGCATTCAGCACACTCAGTTCCCAAAGCACACTGACACAAATGATTAACTTCCACATGTACATGGAATGCTGAAAGCTATTCTGAGGCAAAGAACCTTTAATGCACGGAGGTCGTGACCACGACTTCCGCTGTGCAAAAGCCTTCTGTTTCTAAAAACCAAAGACAGACACGTCATACTTTCCCAAGACTTTTCTTAATAAAATATCCCACTAATTTCTGTGGTCTCTGCTGATACTCCACAAGTACATCGTGTGAGCTGCTGATCTGGTCCCCTTCGAGCCGATTCAGGAGAGTGACACACACTACAGCAGCTAGAAACGAAAAGACATTTTACTTAGATATGGCACTCTGGTACTCAGACAGTCTAAAATCATAAACATTTGAACAAACATAAGAACACTATAATTATTCTTTTTTCCTGTAATTTACTGAAAATTAATTAGCTTGTGTAAAAAAAAAAAAAATCTCACTTTATAATTAGGAAAGATTTATGATGCTACCAAAAATCTGTAACTGTTTAAGAATTACAGCCGTAAGTCTACACAAAATCTGCTTTCAAATCTATATAAAAGTGTAGACAGTGATTTTAGCACTATGCATTTTAAAACCATCTGGTTGATTAAATTAACCAGTTGCTTCCAGCAAACTTCAAAACCTAGCTGAGGAAAACAAATCAGTGCTACAGGGTAATTAGGTGCTTTTATGACTTACGTGCTTGCCGATGGGTGGAATAGCAGTTGATCAGAATTGAAGTATACGAGAACTATGAGAAGTTTGCATAAATTTTGAATATATGTGACTAAAATCAAGCAATCATAGTAACAGTTCTACAACCAGAGCTGTTTCATGCAGATGGTATATTATGCAGAAGATACGTCAGTACCCCACTGATAATTTTTACCTGAATTCTCCTGCACTGAAGAAAAAAATCTGATATTGCATTAAAGCAACTTTAAGTTAGTTTACCTCTGACACCGCTGAGATTGCACATGGCAGCAAAGACAGAAGATTCCATCTCAATGTTTCTAACACCAGAATCATAAGCTTCCTTCAAATATTGCAGTTTTTCTTCTTCATTATACAAGCAGATCGCACCATCCAACCTGCCCTGTCCTGCAAAGCCATTTTGTAGAAATACAAGAAGTCATAAACCAAGTTAAATTTCTAAAATACCCACTTATTGCAATTTCCCATCCACAGTGTCTAGATTTTACTAACATTTTCCTCCATCCCCAAAGACAAATAAGACAAAAGTGACTCTCAGTTACTGCTAGAGCTTCTAAGTATTACTTGCATTTTTTATACTGTGACTCACAATAACTTTACTGGTTTTCTCCAGCTTAAACTTTCAAACTCACAAACAGAAAAATGCATCAAGTGGTTTTCCCCACATGGGGCATATGTCCGAATTTCGCAGCAAACTACATCTGCTTTAAGCTGTATGGAAGTACAGCACTTTTTCCTGTATATAATCATTGTCAAGAAAAACCACCAGGCCTGAAAATGCCTTCCTGATACTAGCTTCAAATGGCTAGAGACTGGGAGCATCTTCTGTTAAATAGTTAATACTAATTCTTAGGCAACTTCTAAAGAGAGAGCAGTGGAGAGTTACAAGGATGATGAGGAGCGTGGAGCATCTCCCTTATGAGGAAAGGCTGAGAGAGCTGGGACTGTTCAGCCTGGACTTTTCAGCAGTGCCCAGCAACAGAATAAGGGACAAAGGGCACAAACTGGAACCTAGAGTGTTCCATCTGAACATGAGCAAGAACTTCTTTACTGTGGGTGTGATGGAACAATCTCTTCAGAGAGGTTGTGGAGTATCCTTCTCTCAAGATATTAAAAACCCACCTGGACACTTTCCTGTAGGGAACCTGCTTTGTTAAGGGGGGTTAGACCAGGTGAGCTCCAAAGGTCCCTTCTAAACCCCTCAATTCTGTGCAATACCATTCTTTGGAAATTAAAATTTATTCAGATTATTTGAGATTAACACCTACAGGTAAGCTGGCAGCACATCACATACAGCATAATTAAATGACAAGGTACTTTACTATCTATTTGTTTTCAGGAGGCGTATTCTGAAATTCACACCCTGAAGCCTCTTTTCAGCTCCTGCTATCTGTATCGAAAACATTCCTGACTCCTTTTTTCACTGTCTCTGCGATTGGTCTGAATAAATGCACAAGCTGACACTGTTTGCTTCTGATCCATCTTGGGGACTATGTGCATGTGTCCCCCTGCACATAGCAGCCTTTGTCACACACCCAGTAACTGCCTGAAAAGCGGGATTAGTTGCTGTCTTCAACCCATTCTCATGAGATTTGAAAGATTTTGTTAACATATTTGAGAGACCAGAGAAGCACCTGATGTCTGTATGTCAATCCATACTTCTGCTAGTCTGCCGCAGTCATACCTTCATAGAAATCCAAAGTGCACATAGTGTTTCCAATGACAGTATTGAACTGATTGATTTCTTTACTGCACTGCAGCAGCTCTTTAGCCAGCTCTTCATCTAGATTTGTGCTGCGAATTATAGTTTTTCCCAGGACAACCTGTTCAAACTGAGGTTTGAAGGTGGCATCTACAGACTGCCTGGTTATAACCACTGAGCCTGGCTCCAGACCTGCAGTGGGAAGAAACAGATGCAGTTTCAATAACAGATATTGCTTAGTAATGCTTAGTTTCCACAGACAGAAACACACATCTTCACCCAATCCTGTTTCTTTTAAAAGTGATAATTTTACCCCTGAAATCACAAAGAGATATTTTTTGTGTGTGTATGCCTCACCGCATCAGTTTATTATTGCAAATATATTTGGGAAAAAATGAAATCTTGACTTTTTCATTGTATATTCTTTCTTATTTTTGCTATTTTATACAGTACAGGAATGTCCTTCTCCCTCTGTCAGATCTTGTAATTGCATTTTATCTATCTAGAGAGGTAGATACCTCCTTTTCTATTAAAATTATTTATTGTTTTGAAATGGAAGGACATTAGACCCAGGAAATAAAAGAAATATTACAGTTTTAAGCTAGAAGAGGAAAGATGTTAGGGAAAACTTTTTTACTCAGTGGGCAGTAAAGCGCTGGCACAGCTGCCTGTACAAGCTGTGATGCCCTATCCCTGAAGGCACTCAAGGCCAGGTCAGATGGGGCCCTGGACAGCTGAGCTGGTGGGTGGCAGCCCTGCTCATGGCATGGGGTTGGAGCTGGGTGGGCTTTGAGGTCCCTTTCAACCCAAGCCACTCTGTGATTCCATTATATGATTAAATGTACTCAGACAACCTGCTGTGGAAATCTGTTCTGAACACAAATCACTTGGGGAGAAATACTCTGCTCTCCAACAGAGATGCCAAATGCTTTGGTTTGAAGAAAAAAGGAAATCAAGAGGGGAAATACCTATTCCACCCGAGGTGCCAATGCGAATAATGGTTATGTTGGAACACTTGGCATGATACAACATTTTGATCAGCTCGTGCAACATGATTGAAATAGAAGGAATGCCCATACCGTGCTGAAATGAAAGCAGAAATTCATGTTCGACATTCACAAAGACAATGAAAAATATACATGGAAGGAGTTAGGTGTTATCTCCTTCTTAATACTTTTTCCAAATGCCACTTAACTCACCATCAAAAAACACTCATGGGCCCACTGAAAAACTTTTGAACAGTAAGCATAAGGACTCCCACTGAATCTGTGGACTATAGATGAAATTCGGTGTTTCTAATAATCTTGACTCATATAATATTTATACTCTTGAAAGTATAATCAGTATCCTTTCCTATGCTTACAATAAGTTTACTTTACCACGGATTTTTTCTTAAACATGGTAAAAAAGCCTCTTTTTACCGACTTGAAACGCTAGTGACTAATTAAGCTCAAATTTTTCAAAACACAACCATTGTTTATTTAGTCACAAAGTTCAAATGCAAGTCCATTCAGCTTGTATGATGATGTCAAGGGAAAGGGTGAAAATGATATTACAGTTATGTTATTGCAATTCAAGTGTGTAATTGCATCTACAAATTAAAGGTGCGAATTTTTAGAATGCATACACAAGTTGGTGGCATAACTCTCATGGAATGCCCGTCGTAAGCTATGTTAGCACACTTGAAAATGCCACTGCAGGAATGTGGAATAGATGCATTTTTTCCAGTGTCCCACATATATCAAGTGATGATTCCATTATTCAGGATAAAAAACAGGGATGAGACAGCAGTGATTCCACTCAAGACATTTCTAAGGCTTTGCAACACCTCAGGGTTACACTGAGGGAAAAGAAGGCAAGAAAAGAATCAGTGTCTTGGGGACAAGCCCTTTTACAAGAAAGGGATAAACAGAAACTCGTAAATAGCCAACAGGACTACTGTGAACATGGATGAAAACACATAAAAAGTGGACTTCATCAAAAGCGTTTAAAAGAAACATGCTTCATATTTTCTACTTTGAACAGCATCACTAAATCATGTTCAGTATCTGACGTACATATAGTATCTGGATGGACATTTTTACGTTCTGTTTCCTAAAGGTCACTTACACTGACTGACAGAACGGGTCCCACTTTGTACATGGCATAACGGTCAGTTCCCGCACAGATGTTGGGGTAGTCACCACCAGGGCTCCCAAGTCCAAGTTCTTCAGCTATGTAGGCAATAAAAGCTTTCATCCGTGAAGGACTTCCTCCTACACACACGAACTGGTGCGGATGGCATTCAACAAAACAAAAATTGATTGGATGATTCATGCAAAGATAAACAAGAGTATGCTGGCACCTTAACACAAAGCTACTCGTAGACGTGGTTCTTCTCTCAATCATGCTAAAAAGCCATTAAGAAAAAGTACACCCCAAAAAAATTCAATACAGAACTCAAAGGCCTTCAACCTGATTAAACTGGTAAAATACAGATTTTGACTTCAAGGCCTCAAAAATGGATTTCTCTACTTAAATAGAGACTGCAATATTTGTCTTTTACTTCCTGAAAAAAGACAATCAGAAACTATTATAACTGATATGGATAGTTAAAAAAAAAACAACAACCTGCAAGTCTTCTCCCCTTTCCATTCCTCCCTCAACTGGCAATATGCTGCCTTGTTTAATTTTATTTAGACAGATCTACTTTTTCCTTCTGCAGAAAAGCTTTAAGCCTGCTGAATGAAATGCAGCTTCTTACCTTTACATCTCCAAACAGTGCAGGAAAATCATGGGTACCGGTCCCAAGAGCAAAATGGTATAGGATGTCTTCTTTCATTTTTTCCAGGTGAGGGTTGCAGAGATGGATAGAATTTTCTCTGTCAGGACAGCAGCATGGTGGAACATATAAAATACATAAAAACACTTACATCGAACATCCTAATTTTGCAAAGTCGGGCAGTAAAAGTTGGGAAATGCCACATCTAAGCCTGCCTACACTACCTGATCTTGGTTCCATACAGATTATGTTAAGGAAATCCTAAATTTTATAATCTCCTTCTATCATGTAATAAGTCACACCTGATAGTAAGCATTCCATTCATTGCACAGGATGCAAGTGCTGAAGAAAAACACAGGCAGTGGAAAACATTTACAACAGTGCAACCTTTACCTTGAACACTATCAAAGCTGTGACCCAGGGTGGGGCTTGGAGGTGAACAGAGCAATGGGAACAAGACCAGGGGATATTCAATAGATCACTTTAGTACACATACAGTATACAACAAAGCCGAAAAGCAAACTTGACCTCTGTGTTTTGAAAGACCCTCCTAGCTACCTGGCACAGGTGGGAAGAGTTGGGCTTTACAGACAGGCCCAAACACAATTTTTGGCAGTTTGCCTCACTGTTTACTCTGTCATCCAGCCAGGAGAAAATAACCTATGTCCTGAAATCAGCAAAGAGAGCGCAGAGAAACTGAACAGTCCAGGAAAGAAGCAAATGAAAATATGAAGCAAAGAAAAAAAATCTAAAAAAAAAAAAAAAAAAAAAAAAAGGAAGGGAAATACAGTACAAGAAGAGACGGAAGGAAAAGTAAAAAGAATTCATTTCCTCTTAAGTTGCTTCTTGTAAGGAAAGACAACTAAAAAAGACAACTTTTGGAAAACCAGGAAATACCAAAGCAATGAGAGAAAAATGAACTAGTTAGCGTGTGGGACCGCCTTCATGGAAAATTTGGTGGTGAACTAAGCAAGCTAAATGACTCATAAAACACCTTCCTTCTCTCTGTACTCCATGTTTACCGCTCAGCTGAAACAGGTAGGAAATATGAGTCAATAATAACAAGCTGAAGTAAAATACCAATCAATAGTTCAAAGCAGTTTTTGAGAGATGAAATAAAGAATAAAGTATCTTCCAGACAAAAGAAGATGACTTAACAGCTTAATGAATGCTTACTGCAGACACAGCGTGGCTCAGCAAATTTGGACTAGTTTGTCAGAGGAGACAAATGAAGAGTTTCTCTGGAGTTTATGAAAAATAAAAAATAAAAAATAAGAATAAAGACTTTCCAGGAAAAACTCTGAAGCCTAAATGCAAGTGTCTGTGTTATTTGGATGTTAGATATTTTAGGTTATCCTGTCTTCTAATGCCTCTAGTACTTTCCTGTTGGACCTACATCTTTATCTACCAATCCTATGCAGGATCTGTTGTTACCTTAAGAAGCCTAAAACTGCCTATATGCCCATACTGAGTTCACTGAATTGTTCCTTAAAAAGCAAAGAAAGTAGTTAAAAACCCAGTGCTCTATCACTCATTTTTGAAAGTGCTTCTCTAATGTTACCATCAGTTCATCAGCAGCTATTACAACCAACATAAGGCACCCCAACCCACTAACTTTGCTTCTGCTCACCACTGCTTAATGCTTTTCAGTAACTCAAAGAGCAGTCTGGCACAGTGAGCAGCTCTTCTCCTTCCACCCAGCTCAACTCCTGCCTACGGAAAGAATTTTGGTATGGTGAGACGAGGAGAAACGAAGAGCAGGTTATGGCACTTCGGCACAGTGCACATCACCCAGGAGACAGCCAGCTCCCTCAAGCAGAATTCCCAAGCTGCCTTCTCAGAGCTGTTTCGTGGGACTCTCTGCCAAAACCAACTGGATCGCTGACGCAGAGCAAATAGCTGGCTGGGCTGATCCTGATAGTAATGGCTATTAGATATAAAGAGGATATAATCTGAAATCACTTTGCAGTTCGTTCTCGGACATGTAAAATATATTTCCTTCTTTATGAGAACACCAGCAGTAAAAGCTTCTCTCCAGGAAATAAACTGGAAAAAGGTGAGGCTCCTATTAGAAGGCTGTGAAACTCAAGTGGTTTGTACCAGCACTGCTGTCTTCCTGCCCTGCCCAACTAGAGCTTCCTTCCTCAGCTGTGTCTGCTTTCCACCTCTTTCATCTCCTATCCTTCAGCAGCACTCCTCACCCCACAGTCTCATTGCGTTTAAATGCTGTAACTGACATGTGCTTGTTATCTGCCCATCCAAATCTAATTGCAGACTTGGACCCTGGAATAATGGGCAATAAAAGTAAGCATATTGCTATCTGCATATGGAGCCAATGCCCTGCATTTACAGTTAAGGCAAAGTTTGCCTGATAAAAATCTTGAGCTCAATGGAGCAGACAGTTTATTCCCTCACACTGCTCAAGGCACCTATAATTCTGGGGGTTTCATGAGAACATGAATATCTGAGGGCTAAACACACACATATGGCTTTACTAAAATGAGATAAAGGATGAGACAAACAGGTGGAAATTTTTGTTCTGTCTCTTCAGGCTGCAGGTCAACTTACAGGCAGCAACCAAAGTCAGCATTTCAACAGCTCACCGGATTAAAAGCCATCACAGCATCATCAATGCCTGAAAAATTTCACATGAAAATGGTTTTCCATAAAAGCTCTCTTTGTAGAAACTTGATGTTACAGTCAGTATTCCTATAACATTTCATCTTCCATTAAACAGCTGTGTAATGAATTTTAAAGTTTGGGAAGGAAAGTAAGAGTGAACTTGGACATGAAAAGAAATTTCTCAATCTCACCTTGAAGACTGTTCATCTTCCATTTTCTTCTCATTTGAGACACCGGGAGCCATGTATGCTTGAACCTAGAGTTATATTTTAAAATAATTTGCTATAAATGCATTAGAACAGTCTCGTCTTTAACATTAACACTGATAGAAACCCCCTACATAGACAACACTGTCACAAATACTAAAACAAAAACAAAGAAAAAACCAATTCCACCACACTATAGCTTTTAGAACTCTGGCAAAATGAGCTCCCGCTGTTTACATGGCTAAGCACCCTCCCTCCCCCCCCCCCGCCCTCCTCTTGAGACAATCCCCACCTCACCACTGCTTCTGTTGTCCAGCAGCACCTGCCTTACTGCCGGAGAGAGGCCCTTGTGGGGGCTCTGTCTGTTCCTCTGATGGCTCTGGCCGGTCCCCGCAGCTCCTCTCTAACTGTCATACGCCTAAAACACGAGTTCCAGGGAACCTCTTACTCACCATCTCCTCCTCCAGAAGCTCCTCCTCGTAACCCTAAAAGCACTTCTATCTGTGCCTCCCGCAGAGTAAAGGTGACCAAACACGAGTTCCCAGAAATAACAGCGCTCCTATCCCTCGCTCATCCCCTTTTCTAATCCATTACCCTAACCTACACGAAATAAATGCATAAATAAACAAGATGATCTGCTATCATTTTCAGCAGTGACTACGTGCAAAGCTAGCTCTATCAGGGGATGCCCTTTCCAGGAAGATCCGAGTGACAAAGCCTTCCTCCTCCCACTCCTTACAAAGGGACCGATCGCACGGAGATACTACGACGAAACGGAAACCACCCGGTTCTGCAACAGAATTTCAAAAGGGATGCATTTGGAAAGAGTCGAGAAAGAACCGCGTGAGAGAAAACTGAAGGCTGCACGTTAAAAGCCACCGAATAAAGGCAATGTATTACAATTCATAAAGGATGATAAATCTCCCTCATTTGAAACAATAAACTCTTTCATACGTTCACCTCCGCACGAGACGGAGGGAACGCTCACAACCCCGCTCAGCACCGGCCCGGCATCCTTACGGCGGCGCAATGGGGGCGGCCGCAGCGGAGCACCGCGCTCGCTACACTGGGACGCGCGGACCCCGCGCCCTCCTGTGCCGCCCCCTCGTGCGGCGATCTCACCTGGGCGCCACGGGGCAGCGAACACCTCTCGGAGCGCTCCCACAGACCCAGCCGTGCAGCCTCCCGGCAGCGGCAGCGCTGCTGGGCTGAACCGCCCCGCCCCGAAGGAGCGCGGCACCGGGCGCGGTTAACTCCCTGCGTGCCGGCTTAGCGGGGTTCGGGGCCGGCTGAGAGGCGTGCGGCGGTGGCCGAGGTATCCGGCAGCTGTTCCTCTACTCTCTGCCTCGAGGCTGCGGGTTCAGCACAGCTCCCTCAGCCTTTCTTCGTAAGAGAGATGCTCCAGCTCTCTGACCATCCTTACGGCCCTCCTCTGGACTCACACTGTTCCATTTCTTGTTCTGAGGCCCCAGACCTGGATGCAGTACTCGAGATGGAACCTCACAAGGGCAGAGCATAGTGGGGACAACCCCCTCCGCCTCCCAGCTGCCCCTCTCCCCCCCTCCCACCCCCTTTTGGCACAGCCCAGTTGGCCTTCCAGACTGCAGGTGCACACTGTGGGCTCATGCCCAGCTTTTCATTCACCAGAACCCCCAAGTTCATTTCCACAGGTCTGCTCCCAATTAGATTCTTCTCCCAGCCTGTACTCATATCTGGGATTGCCTCAACCTGAGCGCAACACCTTGCACTTGGTCTTGTTGAACTGCATTATGTTCATGTGGGCCCACATTTCAAGCATGTCCAGGTACCTTTAGGTAGCATCCCTTCCTTCTGTTGCGTCAGCTGCACCGCTCAGCTTGGTGTCACCAGCAAACCTGCTGAAGGTGCACTCAGTCCTGTGATAAAAATACTGTGAAGAGCACCAGCTCTAAGATGTGGTAGTGATGCGTCCAACCATGATGCAGGAAACAAGGGATTCCCTGGCCTCTTATCACCAACTAGAAGGAGGGAACTCGAGATACAGGGGGAGACAAAAGCAGGTAGAAGAAAAGACAGAAGGTAAAGATAGATTTCTGCTCAGGGTGGCAGGTGAATCCCCTCCCTGCCTACCCAACCCTCTGAGATGCCCTTATACAACAGATACGAGGTTCAGGAACTTGATGGACAGGCAAACAGTGGTGTAGATGAAGGTCCACCCAGGCTGAAGGAGTCACCCAGGGTAAGTCAGCCTGTCCCCTAAAACACAACCACCTCTGTCACGAAGAAAAGAAGGGTTGTTGTCATGGGCGCCTCCGTTCTGAGGAGAATAGAAGGCTTGATATGCTGACCAGACCAAACCCATAGGGAAGTTTGCTGCCTCCCTGGGGCCCAGGTAAGAGATATCACTAGAAAACTCACTAGCCTAGTACAGCCCTCTGACTATAATTAGTTTTCCATGTCAGCAAATGAGGTAGCAAGAAGTCCCAGGGCAATCCAAAGGGAGTTTGGGGCCATGGGGCAAATGTCTAAAGCAATGGGGAGTGGGTAGTATTTTCCTTTACCCTTTCAGTAGAAGAAAACAATAATGAACAGGCAGACCCAGCTGATACATGTGTGGCTTCGACGCTAGTGTAACTAACAGAACTTGAGGTTTTTTCCTTCACAGGATAGTCTATGCAACACCAGGTCTGCAGGGACCTGACTGGATGTGCCTTTCTCAGAAGGGGGAAAGGATTCTTGCACAGAAGTTACTGGGGCTTTAAACTAGATTTGAAGAGGCAGAAGGATAAAACTAGGCTCGGCAGTGATAAGCTAGGGGATGTCACGCCGAACTTCAAGAGTGTGACAGTGAGATCCTTCAGTCTGTTCCACAAGGTGCTGGGTACAACAAATTTGAAATGTTTCTACATGAATGCACATAGCATGAGGAACAAGCAAGAGGAGGCAGAAGCCTTGGCTCAGTCCCAGCAACATCACTGGCATAAGTGAAACCTGGTGGGAAAAGTCCCATATCATGATGGATGACTTGTGTGTCATTCTTGGCCTTCAGCAGGGACAGGCAAGGCAGGGGCCGGTGCTGTGTGAGGGAGGAGCTGGTTACAGAGCTCGTAGTTGGTGATGACACAGTTGAGAGCTGCTGGTTAAAGATTAAGGGACAAGCAAATAAAGCAGATGTCACTGGGCAAGTCTACTGTGGACTGCCCAGCAAGGATGACAATACTGATGAATTATTCTTTAAGGAACTATGCAAGATTTCTAGACCAAACCACCCTTGTTCTTATGAGAGACTGCTCTGAAAGTAACGCCTCCCATTTGAGGTGTTGCCCTGCAATGTAAGAGGCACATATTGATGGTATGGCAGTAGAGGTTGAACTTTCCTGCCAATATTATATTGTATTTTATTGCTGTGTGACAGATGGCAACAGAGGGGCAGTCTGATAGAATGGTGTCTGACAAGGAAGTGCATATGGAGCATAGGTGTGTCATCAAATTCCTCCATACAGAAAAAAATAGCACCCACTGACATTCACTGACACTTGCTGAATGTTTATGGAGAACAAACAGTGGATGTGATTACAATGAAGTGGTAGGAGGTGCATTTCAGCAGTGGCAACAGCAGGTCACTTCCACTGGTGTAGAATTTTACAACAGCAGCATGCATGCTCTTGATCACCACTGATGAAAATGCATAGTTAATGGTGGAGACTGTGTTTTGTAGCTGAGAATTTGCTCTATAAAATAGTGCTCTTTCTATCTGTTATATTTTCCACAGAAATAAACAGGAGGAATTACTTTCGGAGTAACCTATAGAGGTTCGTTACTTGTAAAGAGAAAGGGTCTCACGGATGGAGCAGCGATTGTAGAAAGCCTTAGTCATAGCGATCATGAAGCAGCTGATTTTTAAATCTTTGGAGATAGGAAAAAAACTGCCACCAAAACTTCAGCTTCATACTTCATAAAACTTCATAAGGAAAGCAGATTTCAGGTTGCTCAGGGAACTAGTTAATGAGGTCCCCTGGGAAACAGCTTTTGAAGGCATTGGGGCCCATCAGTGCTTCTCACTTTTTAATTATAACCTCTTAAGAGCACAAGAACAGGCAATTCCAAACTTGTTGGAAGACAAGTTGGCAGGACAGAAGGCTAGCCTGGAAGAATAGGGTTGTTCTAGAACTTAAGTAGAATAAGAAAGTGTATGACTGCTGACAGCAAGGTCAGAAGACTATGGAGATGCCATCTGCCATTGTAAGGAGAAAATCTGTGCAGCCAAGACTAAGCTATGTAGGAGTTGAAGCTGGTCAGTAGAGTTTTGGACAGCAAAAAGAGCTTCTAAATACTATGTTAACAGTAAACAGAGGAACAGAGATAATACTGGCTGTGCCTCTGCCTTTAACACTTACGACAGGTTTAATTCTACAGGATTAATTCTACATCTTTTTCAACTGAAATCTGCATGTTCAATGTTCTTTCAAGAAACAGATATGCTGAAATCAGTGACACTACAGATGCTTAAGAAATGAATGAACCAATTCAATTTTTCATTTTTTTCCATTGCAGTACAAAATAAATGGGTTTATATTAAAACTAGTCTAAAAAGATGGAAGAAATAAAATGATGCATATATTCAGTCACTTTACAATGAGAACAGCCTTTAGATGTTCCTACAGTTAAGTGGCTGCACGCAAAAGGAAAGTTATTCTTCATGTATCTAAACTGCCAAATTATTTTTAAATCTTAATCTGGAATTATAAGTATTCACATATTCAATACACTTGGATGTAATTCATAAAATGAAATTGCACTTCTGTTTTATTTTAGGTCTTGCAAAGCAATCAGCATAAAAAAAATGAAATTATGTCACTTAAAGATATTCAGTTCAAAGATGAAGCACAATACAGCTAAGTAAATGTTCCAGCATTTAAAACAAGCAATGCTAGATTTTTGTGAGTGAGTGCCCAGCTTTTTACATCAGCAGCTCTCTGAAAGCCCTTCCAAAACTAATAACTTCTATTGCTATTAAATGCAACTGCTGATGACTTCAAAAACTTAGCCATTGTGTGATTGTATTGACTGTAAAGCAAACAAAATAACATGATTAGTGAAATAAGGTGAACTTGAGAAAACTTCTCCACCTGTGAATTTATCTGGAACTTCCTGATTTGTTACACTACTTTTATTTGATGCTTATTGAAGAACGTGTGGATTTTCTTGTTGCTGCAGCTTTCCATTACTCTGAATGTGCAAACAAATTCCAGCGCTTGCCACCTGCTTTTATAAGAAAATATCTTAGTCTCCAACAGCACTTCAGGTTGTTAATATTTTAACTCACAGTATTCAAACTGATCTGTGAAGATTCAGTTGGCTGACTGTGCATAGCAAACTCCTCCTTGGCCTCACTAAGGAAAGCTGTGTATACATTAACAGCACACTAAGGAAACTTCTGAGAATTTGAGGAATGTTCTCTGGGCAATACCTAATGGGATGCAAGATAAGAAGAGATCACTAAAATAAGATATGGCTTACACTTCTAAAAGAAAAACCATCAAAATGCAAACTACTAAGAACACGACTACAGTAAAGCACTTGAACAGTGCTGAGTTACCAAGTTAGGATCTTGGCTGTTCTGCCTCTAACAAGTTCTTTAAAAAAAAAAAAAATTTAAAAATCACAGAACCACAGAGTGGCTCCTTGAAGATCACCCAGCCCCAACCCTGTGCCATGGGCAGGGCTGCCAGCCACCAGCTCAGCTGCCCAGGGCCCCATCCAACCTGGCCTTGAACACTTCCAGGGATGCGGCACCACAGCTTCTATGGGCAGCTGTGCCAGCACCTCACCACCCTAATAGACACCAAATACAGACAATTTTGGACAAGAACTCCAATACAGAGGAAATTCATTCAAGATTAGTGAAGAGGGATTATACATCAAACTACGCAAGGCAATAA